GTTGCCAGGATTGAGGCTGCCTCCTTCAGTATGGCAGGATGAACCATATCCGGACCAGGAGAAGTATCTAGTCTTAAGTGCTGCAATTTCCGGAACACCAAGTCAGCGCTTAGGTCTATTTCGGAAAGTCCTGTGGAATTGCAGATGAAACTGTCATCAGTAAAGTTGATGTCTGCCGGTTGAAATGTTTGAGTAATGTGCCGCCAGAAGGTCAGAGGCGTCGCCATCGTTGTTGGTCGGGCCGTTAAGACCTACCAGTTGAGAAACTCCTGTTTTGGCTTGACGAAGAGAGGCTGCATAACGGAATGGGCTTCTAGGGTTAGAGGCGAATTTGTCCATAAGCTTTGTCTGGTACTGAAGCCTGTCTTCTCTTATAGCCTTCGTGCATATGTTCCTGATATGTTTGTATTCCGCCCAACAGTGCCTTTTGCGGCTTAGCAGGCGAAGGGGACGGTTCTTGATTACTGTAGGTGGCTTGCAGCTTTTGGGAACCGTTTGAAGAACTGAATGATTTGTAGCACATAGGAGCGTGTGCAGTAAGAAGTCCCAATGACCGTCCACGTCGAGTTGAGGGTGAACATCCCAAACCACCTGTTGTAGATAGTCATGTAGAGCTGGCACATTCAGCCGTTTAAAATTCCAACGTAAGTTATTATTGGGATACCTTAGCTTAGTTTTGATGACAAAACTGAAGGCTATGACGGCATGATCGCTTTTTCCCAGAGGAGCCAGGATTGAGAGGTTGTCGACTAGGAATTCTTCGTTAGTGAATACACAGTCTAAGCGCGATGGTGTCTGACTGTTTCTCCAACGAGTTACCGACCTCACATTTTCATATAAGCCCAAGTCATCGATGAGGTTGAAGAACCGAGCTTCAATTGAGTTGTCGCCTCCAGTGTACGTGTGTTCCGCGAAGTTGACTCTAGGGAGATTGAAGTCCCCTAGAATCAGGATGTGTGTGAAACCGAGACGGGTAGAGCGGGATAGTCCTTCCAGCATACGACTATCGTACTCGATGTCGGCAGTTGGCTTCCTGTAAATGACTCCGACTAGACACCTCGAAGTACTAGACAATCTTACAGAGCACCATATAGATTCCTCAAGATTGTTAAACTCGAGGTTGTGAACTTGGTGCACCTCCAAGCAAGAGCTTATGTATATGGCTACTCCGCCCCCAATTCCTGTTTTTCTGTCGTTGCGGAACAAAGTCATCCCAGGTAATGCTAACTATTGGTCCGAGAACTGAGAAGATATCCAGGTTTCAGATATTCCTATCAGATGGGCCTTATTAGCGTTGCTAAGTTCACGTAATACATCCAGTTTGTTTGGTAGACTCGCGGCGTCCATATATAAGCAGTTTATGCTTTCAATTTGGAACGCGTGAGCTTCGTCCTGTTTTTCTGTATGAGCCTTATGTGAATGGACAGGTAGCCCACCTATGTGAGGTTTGCCGAGGTGGTAGGCCCTGTCCTTTACACGTTTTTTTATCGTTTAGACAGTCCACAAGTGGAATGGTCAGCTCCAACTTGTCTTTGTTCTTGGTCCTAACTTCGTATGGCCTATCCGGGTGCATGTGGATTCCAGGTGGCAATCGACGTCTGTTGGCACGAAATACTTCCAGAACTGCAGCCGCCATGTGGGAAGACGGGAAGGTTATCTTCATTAGACGGGGTCTAAGATCACCGTCCTTCTTGGCTAGTCTCGTCACATGCTGAGTCAGTATGTGTTTGAGCCTCAAGGACTGTTTGATGAATTTCCATTCCCTGATGTCAGAATTTGATTGAGTAGGATCTGCATTTTCCGGTATAGCTTGCACAATTATGTTTCTTCCGCGGAAAAACTGATCGCCAGTTTCTTTGGGGATGTTCCGTATGATATTGCACTCAGAGTACGGTATGTCGGGCAATATTTTTACGTTACCATCGGATTTCAACAAGTGACTTGCTAGCAAGACGTCCTCAACGTCGGCAGCATTCTTAAGTGTTACTCGGAGAAGCCTCGGGTGATTTAGATGCTTAGAATCCTTTCCTCGAGTGAGCCGGGTGACCGTCATAAGCTCTATTCTAGGAAGTTCAAGCTTCTTGTTCAATTCACTCCAGAGCATCCTGTCATTTTTGTCCTGCAGACTGAGAGGAAGATCAGGATTGTCAACGAGGTTCATGATAATGAGAGAATCGTCACGAACTGTTGTTAATTTACCAGATTTCACGATGGGTTCAGGTTTAATACCTTGTTGTTTGGAGGTCAAGGCACGTTTTTGAGTCTTGGGCTCTTTGATGACCGGATGAACATTCTTGGGGGTAGACTGTGCGACCAAATCACCAGTTGTTTTCCGTACAACAACACTTGGGATGCTCAGCTTAGGCGGTGACACCTGGTTCTTTAGGGCTCTGCTAACGTGGGTCGAATCACCTACAGGGTTTTTGAGAACCACCGTTGTGTTCAGGGACCCTGAGCTGGGAGACCCGAGTTTGCTTAAGGAGTCTAGTACCGTCGACGTAATGATGGTGCTGAGCCTCGACACGTCATCATTAGTGTTGACGGATGCTCCATCAGTGGTATACCTATCGGCATCCCTATTTTTGTACCCGTCGCACGCTCTTGTTTGTCTACCGGTTTTTTTACTATCGTTATCCAAGTTATCTGACAACTTGTTCCGAAGACCTGTCAGTAGGACAATGATGTTATTCAGCAAGACTACAGCGTCCGTGCTGCACGTGACACACACCCACTTTTGCTCTGACTTGCCGAGTCTGTTGTAAGCAGTTGCTGTCAGATCTGTGCATGCTTCGTGGAACCAACCTTTGCAGCTGTCGCACTGCATGCCAGTTGTAACAGCAAAACGGCATCCCGGACGTTTGCATGAGTTTTTCATGACTGTGTTTTCAGAATGTATCTGAAATATGCATGTTTGAAATGATACCCTCAAACCAATGTACATCTACTATAATTTGAGGCTGATAAATTAGTTTTTCATTGGGTATTGAGTGTAAATAGCGGGGTTTGTAAACGTTTCTTGACGTTGATGTTGGTCTGTTGGTAGTGAGTGTTTTTTTTGTTAGTCCTAAAATAACTCAATAAAATGAAAGTAAACGCGGATTAATATAGTAGTTGTTTTGGAGTTTATTTCCGGATCTGTTATAAACATCACAAACTCATCAACTATACACAGTTTTAAGACATCTTGGTTTCAACAAGTTAAATAATATGCTTAGATAACAACCTCGATAGCCTCGTCTTAAATATATATGCTCTGTAGTTGCGGGGCGTGCCGTTTCAATGGTATTACTAGCTGGACTACATTTTAGTAAGAAAGCTATCCAGTTATATATTTAATCCGACCACTACAAATCACGACTTTCATAAGTTGGGAGATTTAGAAGGGATATATTCACATGTGTCTTAATATAATACTTTAGGACTTCCAACCTCACTCACTTAAATGATCCGTAGTGTACTGTCTTCCGGTTGGTCCTATGGGGATTAACTCATTGAGTCAGTGACTTGACATACTAAAATATTCAGGAGCATTATCTCACTTTTGCACCTGGAGTTTGCCACTCTTTATGTTACTGTTTTTCTTTTATAATTATACGTCACAACCTTAAGAAGCCGTAGGCCTGTTAGGGATATTCAGTGTTGTTGCCACAGCGAGTACCTTAAGCTCTGGAGATTTACCTGCCTTTGTTAACCTACGACATAGCTTATCGTCTATTTGGTATGTCTTGTCTGTCCTCCATCTTATTTAATGTATATTTAGAGCCTTGTTGACTGACTTACTGTATACGCTTTACATAATTGTCCCCTCGACGGTTTCCCTATCCCTGGACAGTTTCAAAGGTATGTGTTGTTGAATATCTATAAACCTCATGTCTTTTGGTTAGGAGTATTGCACAGTCGTAAGATAGCAGAGAATCCCTAGTTTAAGTGTTCCTTAAATGGCATCCATTTGGTTTGCTCTCACTATGTGTGCTATGAATTGATGTATACCAAGTGGAGTTTAGCAAGAATCTATGACTTCCAAAACCAAGGTGCTCAAAGTAAAGTTCAAACTTGAAGTCTGTTTGTCAAAAATAGATTTTTTTTAATCATCTCACCTATCGACTGTATTGCCTTTTTTACACAACACTACCTTGCCTACTTTGGTCATACATGGTAATTTGAAAAATAATTATATATATTATGTATTTGCTCACTTCGAGACAAATAGGTATGCTAAGCGTTGTGCCTAGCTAGTTGGTTTCCTCATTCGCTACCGAATAACGTACTGAAGTTTTTTGTAATATTTTCAATAAATAAAACTTACTTAACTTCATTCATTACAAACGCTCTCGCAAAATTGCATCAATTCTCATGTCAAGACTGTTTTGCGATTATCCACGGCTGGTTTATGCTGCTTCAGCGTTCCTATATTTGAGCTTATTGTTTATTTAATCTCAATTTTTCAGAAACGTCATGTTTAATGTTTAACTGTTTGAACTAAATGTCCAATTTTGGATGAGAGGTAAATGAGATGCTGGCAATTTCATCCAAAAATCCAAATGATCAAGAACTTCCATTGCACAACTTAAACTCTCTAAAACAAAATATACCAAGTACACGTACCGTCTCAAGTTTTCCTACTCCTGAAACTGACAACACAATTCAGATACCGCAACCCCAGTTTTCAATATCATCACAGGCCTTCAGTATGTTTCTAACCAGGTCTATTGAAAAAATCGCTAGCGAACGCGAAACCCGTAAGTCTAACAATTCAGCTGTGAAAAAGGCATGTGAGGAGGCTCTTGTCTTGCTAAAAGAACAACCACTAGTGTTACCGAGTAGTAAAATTTTGTCAACAAACGAATCTAGCACACATCTACCACCTCTAAAATCAGACTGTGGTATATTGTTGAGTGATGAAAGACTTCTTCGTCCATTTCAACTGGCCTGTACTATGAAATCGCCTAAAATTGTCAGCACAGCAGTCGATTCATTGCAGAAGTTAATTGCTTATGGTCATATTCCAAACACAGCTGTTTGCTCTTCTGGAAAAGTTCGTATAATTGAACAAGTTGTAACTACCATATGTTCATGTTTCCAAGTGAGTCCTAAGATTCATAATTTGTATTATCAACACAGTTTGTTTTCGGACCTTAATTATTAACAATATTACGTAAAGTTAATCAGTAACCAACAACTTGTATTGTTTTCATCGCTACCAGAGATCGTTTACATTTTCCTATCGATAATACTCGATGTGAAGTGTATATCTAACAGAATATATGGTTAGGATGGATATATACAGCCTATGTATTCCTGATTATCTACAGCAAAAGGCTCTGTATGAGATCTAGCTTGATGTATAGAAAAGACGCTACAACTCCTCTAGATAAACTCTATTTACCAATTCTATTTAAGCCTCATATCTAACGTATTTCTACTCAAATAGTAGAATAGATGTTTTAAGCCATTTAATCTGTTTTAAACTTGGAAATAATTAGTATTACTTTAAGCACTGTTAATGTTCATTGGATGACTTATTCAGTGTACAGTAAACCGGAGAACCATGTACCTATTTGTATTCGATAATTTTGATGTTTGATTATATTTAATTGAAGAAGCTTGAACCATATTGCCAGGCGAAACGTTAGATTTACTTCAAATTATTTCGCTGAGATTTTACAAATACATTCTTCCTCTTTAATGTCTCACATTAACTCGGCGCCCAAATATTGTGAAACTATGCGATCAAATTTAGAAAGTTCCTATTTAGTATTCTCGAGATTTACAGGATCAGTGTAACTCACTTCTTCGACATTTTATGAAAGTTCTTATTTTTCCATATTGTTTCTCTAAGCGCAACCACTTTTCAGAGCAATTATATTAGAGTATTTTGTCAAATTTTTTCACATATAGGGTGTGCAAACTGATGATGGCATTCAGTTACAAATTTTAAAGGCACTCTTAACTGTAATCACAAGTTCAGTCGTTGAAATTCATGAAGCTGATATCCTTCTTGTTGTAAGAACCTGTTATAACATTTTTATGGCAACAAAAAACCCAATTAATCAAGCAACAGCACGTGCAACTCTTACACAGATTATTAGTGTATTATTTCAACGGATGGAACAAAATGCATTTGAAGCAGCGATTGCAATTAACGCACAAATTTCTCCTCATTCTGATTCAACTACAGATGAGTGTAACAAGCTTGAACAGTCGCCTTTGGAAAATTCAACACAAATATCATTTGAAAATGAATCAGATTCGCAAAAAGTAGGTTATCCCCCGATCTAATTTATCAGAAAAATTTTAAGTTTACATGTGACTTTTGTTTCTGATATAGTTGCTGGTTTTCGGCGAAACATGCACACCATTATTCTTTTGATTTTCAGATTAGGATTGATCTTCATTCTCCTTATCGGTCGCTAAAAGGTAGCTATTGTTGTACCCTATCCTGTAGTGTTGACCAAAGTTTAATTCAATGTAACTGTTGAAAGCAGGACTAAAATATTTTATTTAAGTGGTTTTCAAAAAAGGATCAGTTTGAGTTTCATATCTACTGGTACTAGTCTTTAACAAGGAATAAGTGCCGACTTCAAAATAATAAAAAGGTATGGACTTAAATTTCAGAGGAACAAACTTCTTGATACATTTCAGTCATAAATTCCAACGAGTATCAAACCTAACTCCAAAGATTTCCGTTGAAATGTTTTAATATTGATTGTCGACAGGTTTTTTATAAATAGTTATTTTCCAATAAGACATTTACACGGCATTACCAGTGACACTAGAAGTAGGTAAACAATAAGTAACAATATGAGCTCAATTTTAACCGATACATTGACCAAAATAATGCTTCGAGATTTACATATCACTGATTAACCCACTAGTGATGTATGATTTTTGTTTTTTCTTCGAATTTTTCTTTTACATGATAAATTTCACCTTTAGAATTTCTGGTGACTTTCATTCTCATATTAGATTCAATGATGATCTTTCTGTATTCACTTGACTAATCACCCCCAGTTATGGAAGTTATTTCAACTCGCTTATTGTTTTGATGAAGTTCATAAATGTTTCTCTATGTCCATAATTTTCCTTTAGCTACGTTGTAATTTAGTTAGCATTAATTTAAGCGCTATCAGTCTTTCACAATTGATTGGTCACTGGGTGGTGATAAATATCATGTGTATCAAGTCCTTCCTAGTGCAGATCGAATGCTATCGACCAAGTTGCAATGTGGCCACTAGTTCAGGTGACTCGACATTGCGTGCACTACGTTGAGATAAGATGGTGGTTGAAGGTAGTCAACAGGAATCCCTGGATCTATGTTTCGTGCTACTTGGCACTCGTCAGTAAAGTGTGCCTGTAATCTTGAGGGAACGGGTGCTCCCTGACGGGCTCGATCCCGTGTCACCCAGCTTCACAATCAGAGACGTTACCATTGGGCTATCCGGACCGCGACCAAGCTCCTGTAGGACTGAGATATATTCACAATTGATTGATCACTGGGTGGTGATCACTGTCATTTGTGTCAAGTCCTTCTTAGTGCAGATCGAATGCTACAGGTCTTCACACACATTTTTACCTGTTTCTTTAAATAAAAGATAGTGTACATCACTAACCAGTGTTCCTAGTGTTTATAGTTTGGTTATCAGTAGTCATCTTTCAGTTGTCCATCACTTAATGTAAGGGATTAAAGCGGTAGAAAATAGTATTTTTACCGGGTAAACGAGCTTTAATTTAAGTCACTTTTACAATCAGGATCTTAACTTGATAAAAAGATGTACTTTACATTCTTCTTATCATACTCATATATCATCCTATCATACTGGCTGTTTTGTACACTGTTTCTCTGAATGATCAGTGATCTTAATGATAATAACCATTTTTCCAGTGAGTTAAATATCGGATTCAGAATATAAACAATTTCAAACATATTGGTGTATATCTTCCTTTACTGTAATGTAGGATGAAAATAATACTGGTGAAAAATTATTAAATGGCGATGCTCATATCAACAGTTGTGATTCTCCTGATGCTGACAATCGCGATATACCTTCGAAAGAAGACAAGGATTCTGAATCGAAAGTTAATAAGATCGTGGAAAACATTCTATATGAAATAATCAAAAAAGTCGCAGTAGATGACGAAGACGATAGTAATTCTCTGTCATCACCTCATTGTATACCAAATTCTGAATCGCTACCTGATATATGTAAATCATCCATAGATTCGTCACGTTCTTCATCCATTTCAATTTCAGTAAATACTAGCCTTAATCAAGAATGGTCAAGTGGTAATGTCACTCCTAGTATTGTTAGTGCCACTGCTACAACTACCAATAACATACATGAGTCGGATTTAAGAGATCCGAATTCTGCATTAGTCGCGGATAATAATTGTGAAGTTGTCACTTCAGCGCATGTTACACAGAAGGATGCATTTCTTGTTTTTCGTAGCTTATGTCGTTTGGCAGTGAAAGATTTCACGGGTTCAGACTCAAATGATCCTAAATCACATGCTGTTCGCTCAAAATCTTTGTCATTACAATTATTACTTAATTTGTTACAACAACCCGGTCCGTTATTCTCAACGAGTGAAATATTCATAGCTGCTATCAAACAGTATTTATGTGTAGCTTTATTTAAAAATGGTACTTCACCAATTGTGGAAATATTCGAGTTATCCGTTGCTATTTTTCTTGCCCTATTAACATATTTCAAACCATACTTGAAAAGACAAATCGAAGTATTCTTCAAAGATGTCTTATTACTCATTTTAGAGTCATCCAAGTCATCATATGGGCATAAATTAATTGTTATTGATGCATTGAAACGTATATGTGGTGATGCACAATGCTTAGTTGATATTTATCTAAATTATGATTGTGATTTAAGTATGGCGAACATATTCGAACGACTAACAACAGATTTAGCTAAAATTGCTCAAGGACGTTGTCTAGTCGCTGAACATGGGAATAATACGTCGTCATCAATTCAGCAACAACAACAAATACTACGATCTAGTGGTTTAGAGTGTTTAGTACTGATTTTACGTTGTATGACTGAATGGTCTCAGGAGCTTTATGTTAATCCAGAATCCCAGTCGTTTTTGGGTTCTGAACCAATGTTGGCGAATAGTGGCAGTAATACTAATACAGTAGAGAATGCTGGTGTGGATGGTAATCATAATATGACTTCACTAGGTGAGTAGTTTCAAACAATATTTATTCAGTACTATTACTTTATACATTATATGTGACTCGATCGTCTTGGAATTCAGCCACCACTTTCAGGACTTCATCTTAAAACATTTATTAGTTCAGTCTCGATAGCTGATTATTATAAACTGATTTTCATGAGAAATAGGCCTTTATGTTATCATGTGTTGTTAGTGAAACTGTGCTCCCAGCCTAGATACTCGGTTTCTGTCCATTTTTCATAACTTCAAATCCATAACACGTACGTCAGTTTGAAAAGGTGTTTATGCCATTAAACCAAACACTCGGAACCACCCACAATGGTGCAATTAGTTGACGATTTTCATTGGTTGATTATGAGGAAGGTTGATCATGAATACAGTGGTCTTGGGTGCTGTTAGAGATATGAGGGCGGTTATCACTTCCCGGTTGCCCACACCGAGGAATGGTTCTTCTGGAGGTACCTGAAAAGGAAATTGGATTAGAGGCGGTCTCAGTGACCTGAGAGCGTGACCGCAGTGCCCAAGGGACAACTGCTTGAGGCCGGTCGCGCACGGCCTTTTCGTGGGAGGTTTTTGACGTGTTAGCTCTGTTCTTCAAAGGGCCTTACCGCCGGAGACGGAAATCCGTGAGGTAAGGCAAGGTGTGCATTTTTAGGGTCGACCTTTCCTAACCCCACCCCTCCTTGTGGGAAGGCAGCATCGCTGTCATGCTGGTTGTCTGAAGGAAACACCTTAATGCTGTCATACCTCTGTATAGTCAGCAGTACGACTTCGCCTTCGGACCTTGAGTTTGTTGCTTTTAGTCTTACCGCTCTTCAACCAACCTGTCTGACATGGTAGGACCTTGAGGAACGGTTGTTCCAGCCAGTATAGCTCAGTTGCTTCATCACGATAGGCAAGCCCGATCACCACGTCAAGGTAGCAACAACGGTCGGGACGATTTTCATTTATTTATGTCAATCATTTACAGTCCTCTCCAGGAACCTAGACTTTAACCTTGATTTCAATATTAACTGAAGTGAATCTACTGTAACTTTTGAGATGAGTGTGGTTTAATTTAGATCATGTAATGTAAATGCATTCATATTTACTGGTAAGATTAAGTTACGGGGAAATTTACCGGTATATATGTTATTGAGGCACATGAAATAACTTCTTTGGTAAAATTATATGTACATGAATTTGGGTTTCTTAAAACTAATCAATTACGGAAAGTCTAATGTTCGTAGAACATCATTACGCAACTATAATAAAATGTTTTACGACTTCTGGCATCAAATATACATTGGTGTATTGTATGGGGTCATTCACGTCCTATAGACACTTGATAAAATAAATAACATTATTTCGCTCAATTCGAAGTATGGAAAGCAAACAGATTTTTGATTTTATCGTGTATACCATTCATATGTGTTTATGTGTATTCTACTCAATTTTTAATTTTAATCAAGCATATTTATTGTGTATGCTAGTATAGATGGAATCAATTAGGTTCTCATTCAGGAGCATTTGTATATGATATTGAATTTAGTCTAGTATGATTGGTGTTTTTAAAATAGCACTAAAGTATGATAACAGCTGACAGTAATCAGTTAACCATTCAGATTGTTGAAATATGTTTCGTACCATAAATAATCCCTCTAGTAGCAATGTTAGTCGAGATTAGGTAGCGCGAATGAACTACTGGTAATACGAAGAAGAATAGGATGTCTGACTATGCTGAGACTGGTTCTCAAATATAGTTGTCACCATATACCTTTAAATTCTTGCACTTTCCATTTCGTCTGGTTTACGACTGGATTATGAAGACATCCACATCCCAAGGGAAGCACGGAATAGAATGGACAGCTTGCATACAGCTAGACGATTTCGACCTCGCTGACAATCTAAATATTCTATCCCATACACACCAACAAATGCACATGAAGACAACTAGGGTGGCAGCAGCCTCTGTATCAGTAAACCTCAACATACACAACGGAAAAACCAACATCCTCAATTACAACACAGAGAACACCAACACAATCTCACTTGGTGGAGAAACTCTGGAAGAGGTGGAAACTCTCACGTACCTGGACAGCATCATAGATGAACAAGGAGGATCTGATGCAGACGTAAAAGAAAGGACTAGCAAAGCAACGAAAACATTCTCACAATTGAAGAACATCTGGAACTCGAAACAACTTTCAACCAACACCAATGCCAGAATCTTCAATATGAACATCAAGACAGTTCTACTGAATAGAGCTGATACTTCGGGAACCAATACAACGACCATCATCAAAGAAGTACACGTATTTATAAACAATTGTCTATTCGAAATACTCAATGTCCGTTGTTGTCCGGATATCATCAGCAACAGCCTACTGTGTGAGAGAACAAACCAGCTTCCAACTGAAGAGGAAATTAGAAAAAGACTGGTGGTGGTGTTGGATAGAACATACATTACAAAAATCATCAAACAGCATCACGATGCAGGCGCTAACTCGGAATCCTGAAGGGAAAAGGAAAAGAGGAAGACCAAAGAACACATTAGACCAGGAATTGGAAGCAGGTATGAAAAGAATGAGTAGCAACTGGAAAGGATTGTCTAGAACAGATTCAGATGGAGAATGCTGGTGGATGGCTTATGATCCTCTGCGAGGGGTAACTTGCGTTAGTAATATACCCTGACATGCATCTGAGTGATTCGATTCTTTATCTATTCCGATTTTATTCAACATTTTGTTGTTAAATGGTTTTTCTTAGTCTTTCCTCTGTCTTTTACTCCTAAAGATAATTGTAGCTATATTTTAATAAATATTTAAATATTATAATTGATTATTACATATATGCTTTTATCGAAATTAGGCACTGTTAAGCCTTATGATGACCCTGAAGCATTTGAATCTCGCAAGGCACAAAAAGAAATTTATGAATCTGGATTAGCATTGTTCAATCAAAATCAACCTCTTCGTTGTTTGCAATTACTGCAAGAAAATGGATTGATTGGAGAATCTGTTGAGTCAGTAGCACAGTTTCTCTTAGTTGAAGATCGTTTGTCAAAATCACATATCGGTAATTTTCTCGGTGAAAATGAACCGTACAATCTACGTGTTATGTATGCATATGTTGATCAGTTTGATTTCACTGACAAGGATTTTGTTTCTGCTATAAGGTGAGTTTATTATCTTTCAACTTTACGACTAATGGATCAGGATTTCTTTGTGATATTCAGTTGTCAACAATATGTGTTTTTAACTCATTCTATTTAATTTAGACTTTAGTTGTCAAGTTGTATCGTTAATGCATAAATATATGCTCACATAATAAGTCTAGTTAATTGTCCTGCTAATGAGTATGCACCGAATGAAGTAGTAATGTAGTGAACAAGAACACGGGTGGGGACAATCGGATGTATATAGCACAAAAATTACAGACTATCTCAATAAAATCTGAATATCATATAGTAAATCGTCAATTTGCAAAATATTAATGCATCATATCAAACTGGACTGTTTCTGTTGCAAACACCAATCCATTGTCTCCCATTCCATTGTTCATGCGTTTTCTTACAAATTCCATTGTGTTCTCGCTCTTCTTTTCTTGATCTTCCCCTCATCTTCTGCTGCCAGACATTACGTTCTAACTTGCGTCATATATTACTTATATCTATATAAGTGGCATGCACCACAGTAACACTTCCTTTGATGTTTTCTTTTTGAGAACAGCTTGCAATTGTTAAAATAGTTGGTCATTTCATTATCATTTGATTCCTTGATGCTGTTTGCTGCATCGTAACGTTCTAAACGTGTTTACTACGTGTTTTTTTAATGTGTTGTTAACCATCACTGTTTCTATACAAGACAAACGAAACATGTTACGTTTATTTTGTTTTCTCTTTCAAATCTCAATGACCAACATTTATGTGAAATTTGATTTTATGTACAACGGGATTTCCCCCTTTAGATTCGTTAATTTGAACAAAAAACTTCTAAACATGGACTCATAAGATATCCGTTCATTCAACATCATTTTAAGTTGCATCACAACTATTAAGGGTAATTGTTAGTGAAAGCTACAGTATATAAGCATGTGTGTAACTAATTGGCTTATTATAATTTTTTGTAATTCGAGAGATTGTTTATTATTTTCTTATTTCTAAATTAAAAATAAATTATCTCTATTAGTCCGTGAATTTCATACATCTTTAAATGAAGTGATTTTTGGTCCCGTAACTTGTAAACAGGGGACAAAAGTTCTTCATTTTGAAGATAGTCTTAATCCATTGATATCATCTGGTGAACATTAAAAACGAAGAATCATTAGACAGCTGCTGTTTCGTCTTCTTTTGGAACTTTGCTACGAGATTTGGTAGTCCTGAAATCGATGCTCCCTTGTGAGTTTTTTAATGCATACTATTGACAAGTACCAAACTAGAACAAAATAGCTGTCCGCTTTTCCATACTTTCCAATGGTTTAACTTACGCCTGTTATTTGTGGAGGAGCATAGGCCCCCCATTAGCACTCTCCATCTGCCTGTAGCTCTTCTAGAGTTACTGCCGGTCCCAAACCCGGGTAAAAGAGGAGGGTCAGGCAATGGGTTAGCGACCCCAACCCGTAGAAAACCAACTCGCTAAAAAAACGCTAACCTCAATGGTTCAACAGCTGATATTAACTGGTGGGTGATAAAAAGTCCATTTCAAAACAAATTAATAAATTGCTTTACCTAGTTAAATTGTTTTATTATTTTTTTGCATTTTAATCAAAAGGGAATTTTTATCGGGCTTTCGATTACCCGGTGAAGCACAGAAAATTGATAGACTTATGGAAAAGTTTGCTGCACGTTATTTTGCATGTAATCCAAATAATAATGTATTTGCTTCAGCCGATACTGCATACGTTTTGGCTTTCTCAATAATCATGTTGACTACAGATTTACATAGTTCTCAGATTAAACCGCATAATCGTATGAGTAAGGTAATGAGTTCGTGAAATAATTCCTTTTAACAATATTTCATTATATTTCATTTTTTAAAGAATCCAATCAGTCACTAGAATATCATAGATTATAGAAATATATATTCAGCGCCTTATATTTGTTGGATTAACCTTTTTTTTCAACGCTGGATATTATCAAGGTTTATTATGAATGAAGTTTATCTTGAGAATTTGATGCATTCGTGTAATATATTTTGAACAGTTGAACCACACATTTATCATTGATTTCCACAAGTTGTTGATTTCATGTGATAGCGCTTCTTGATGCCAGCGCTTTGGTGCTAAGTAAACTTTGTACATTAGCAGTTAGGATGAGTTAATAGGTTTTAAAACATGTTCATGAATTTTCAGTTGTGTTTGTGACTTCATCAGTTTAAGGATTTTCTTTTGTTAATTCATATCATTTGAAGATTTAGTGAAATACAGACGCGAAATCAGAAACCACCATCCTTAAAAAGTACACTCGCTGAGTATCCTTATTATTTTTCATGCGCATAGTACACCAAACCTAACAATCGTACAGAAAAAAGAATGCGTAAAACCTATTTATTTTATTCAAATTAATAATTTAGATTCATCATTCTAAGAAATTTATTGCAGTTCAGTGTAATTCGATTGACTACCGACTAATTTATTTTTTTGTCATTCTGTCTTATTATCACCATATTTAAAAGGAGGATTATATACGCATGAATCGTGGTATAAATGATAGTCAAGATTTACCAGAATCCTATTTAGCTCAAATTTATGATGAAATTGCTAATGCTGGTATAAAATTGAAAGCTGATGATAATGTTACCAAACTTACAAAAATTTCTACATCAACTGAAATCAGCCCTAAGCTAGATAACCGACGACAAACAGGAGATGGTGAGATTTTAGGAGATTCTGTAAGTTTTTTTCGCAAATAAAAATAAATAAACGAATTGAAGTTAATTTACATTGAAATCTTTGTCTTCAATGGTTTGATAAACGTTCATTTTTTTGTGTTTGCTATATTACTTGTATTTAACATTATTTTTCTTCTACTATCTTTTGAAGTTAACATCTAAATTTTATTTAAAAAACAAATAATTTGTGTATAGCGTGAAATTTTATCAAGACGAATTAATTAGTAAACATTACATATTTCTTATTGTTTTAGAATTATTAAGATAGTTACCGTAAGGTTGAAACAACATCCTAAATTATGTTTAAATATAGTTCACAATCTAGATTAGTTCGACTGTAACAACTAGTCCACTTCTCATCTTTTTATGGAGTAGTATTTTACAAGATTTGATTTGATAAATTTTATGTTGTTAAAATGAAAGTAAAGAATGTTGGTTGATAAATGGCTTGCAATAATACTGAACATAGTCAAATGATGCCTGCTCACGAGACCCAGTTAATAACATAAGTTCCCAATGAGCTGATGTTAGAAGACAACATAACTTTCTAGCAGAATAGTTTTTCTTAATAAAATAACATATCTATATACAAAATGTTGACAAAGAAATAGACATGATTAAATGTTACTGATGATTGAGAAAAATCAATTTTGTAGGTGATTAACTATCTAACCATTTAAGACTTTTCCCATTGTATCACACCGATAAAATGCATTGTTGTTAATATAGTTGACTAATTTTTTATTTCCTCTAGTTATTGTTCAGTATGGGCTGTTTAACATCTTTTTCCCGTTAACAGATTGCATTGATTCTCCTTTGCTCTAACTGTATTAATTAATTTTTTTTGGAAACAAATCAAGCTTCCCGAGACGAATTGTTTACTTATTGACTTTGAGCACACTAAGACTTTATGCTTGACAACCTAGCGACTAGTTTAGGAAATTCATTTTTCAGCAATTAAGTCCCTCTGCCGATGAACATCAATTGGAGAACTATTGAAAAGTAAACAGAACTAGATAATATTTGTTTAAAACTATTTTGAAGAGAACTCTTTGTGAGACTATAATTTATGGACGACCTTTGACGCTTAAGAAACCTTGAGAAAGTCCACCTACATACTACGGCTAAATGAGGGTTATAAACCAGCGTGAGGAATTAGGATTAATATTTACAGCTGACGGTTAGGGTTAGGAATCAGATATAGGGTTTTCATCACGAACTGACAAGCTATAATACCAAAACTATATTTAACCAAATGGATGAGTTAATTTCGCGCCGAAATTCAAGACCTGTTATCGTAAATCTGATTGGTTCATCTATAAATTATAGTCCCTCCGATCTCTTAGTTTAACTCACTCTTGACCACACATGGGAGATCGAAGCTCAGAGCATACGAGTATCTTAGCAAGAGTTCAAAATCAAAACAAAACGACTGTCTAGTTCTCTCTGATTTCCAGTGATATTTCTCTCCCTCTAAATGCAAGCTGCTGCTTCAGGACTGGTCTGCGTCAACACCTGAACTAAGGATAGGGAGTGAAGTAATCGAAAGCGTTGACAACTTCACTTATCTTGGAAATCTGATCAGCCCTAATGGGTTGGTGTCTGACGAAATCTCAGCACGGATTCGAAAAGCTCGTTTGGCTTTTGCCAACTTACGTCACCTATGGCGAAGGCGAAATATCCATCTATCAATAAAAGGACGAGTATACTGCGTGGCAGTTCGTTCTGTTTTAATTTAAGGCAGCGAAACATGGCCATTAAGAGTAGAAGACACTCGTAAGCTACTAGTATTTGACCACAGATGACTTAGAAATATTGCTGGCATCTGCTGGGATCACCGGATAAGTAATAGTGAGGTTAGACGCAGGGTATTAGGGAATGATGGTAAATCAGTTGTTGAGGTTATGAATCTTCATCGACTGAGATGGTTGGGCCACGTATTACGTATGCCTGAACACCGATTACCACGTCGTGCAATGCTAACGGGTGTTAGAGATGGTTGGAAGAAAGTTAGGGGTGGCCAAACCAAAACGTGGCATCAGTGCCTGAAGTTACTAACCTCTAGTCTGAGCCATGTTGGTAGATGCAGACTACTTGGTCGGGGTCCGCGTGACTTTCGTAACTAATGGTTGGAGACTCTTGATGATATGGCTCAGAATCGATCACAATGGCGTAGGTGTATACACTCTTTGTCTTCCCTTAAACTAAGAGATTAAAATCGCTTCATATCTTTCTTTCTACGAATTAATTCTTTCTTCCTGTACTATATCCTTATTGCAATCTTTTTTATATATTATCACCACTGAATTAACTACTTTTATGAATCCGGTGTCCATCTTGTCGTGTTAATGAGGTGTTGTCAACTTGAACCGATGCATATATGTGCCTGGTCCTACGTTGTAGCTGACTGACTGACTGATATTTCAGCAGACTGTAATACATGATGCGAATAAACTCCACAAAGCCGTTCAGCCAAATTATTGCCGAATTATTTTTAGGCTGTCTTTATGACAAATTGATCTTAGTTGAAGGTACATTTTAGAATCAGGAGATTCTGAACATCTATCTTGTTCTAGTATGAGAGTTTTTGGCAGTGCGCACGCACGACCACACTAGGGATTAAACTAAGAACATTCAGATTTCATCATAAACGGTTAACCATTACAATCAGTCAATCAGCATAGAGCCTAATACATATTTGCGTTGGTTCAAGTTCCCATAGGACAGCACAACGAGATGAATAGTAGGGAAATTAAATAAAGTACCAGTAATCATATTAAGAAAAACTGAACATTAATCCTATGACCATTAATGACTGAACTAGTTTTTTTTCCAGCTAAGTTAATCAATTTTTGAAAAGTATTATACTTTGATGTATTTGTTTAATTTTTTGTTTACCATCCTTCCATTCTAAAACACAGAACAAATAATACTAAATTTTTATTAAAGAAAAATATTCTTCTTAAATAAATATTATTTTTACGTAACTACAAATACACACAATTATGTGTTTATCATATTTCTTGTAAAAAACAAATAAACATAAATCAAATACACATTTAACTACGGTTACACATCAATAACAAGGTCAATATAGAAGAAACATAATAATCAAAAAATAAATAAAATCAAACACTGAATTAATGTTTATTACTTACTACTTCGTTTGACATTTTAACATTTTTTATCTTTATCTAATAGAATGTGACTAAAGTCATATTGTATATTTGTCATTAGTTTTATAATTGAAGTTTATTTTCGGTAACAATAAACTAATATTATTTTGTCAAGAATGAATAAATTTGTCGATTACATTTCATTCTCAGCATTGTCTGTAATTTAGTCAGTAATTAAATTGTATCAAGTGTTATTGATTTGTCAGTTACAATAAGAAATTGTTAGGTAGAACCAAACAAAAGTTTATGTGAAACACAAATAGGAATGTTCAATAAATTAAGAATATCAATGTATCTATTATTCAATTGATCCAGTTCACAATCTAATCATATTATTTATTTTGAATAACCTCAGAAAGATTATCAAAATACCTCTTGTTCCTGGTTTCTGATTTCAATAACATTATATCTTTTAATCGTATCCATCATCATGATATATTTCATATACATACATATTAACCTATTATGAAAACCCTATCTCGAACTGTATAATTTTAACAAAAGTCGTGTGCTCACTAGTGGTAGTGGTTAGTTTACGAATTTCTAGTGAGATTTCTTTACTAACGAGATTCAATCTTTTGCAGAGCATGAAAAATACCACCGATCGCGTTGAATGATCATCATGTTATGTTGAGAAGTGATTAAATTTGGGATTGTTTACCATTAGATTTCAACTTAGCGGTCTAAATATTTAACGCGCTCTCTGCAAAATTCACTAGATAGTGAGTAGTTATGCATCACTGACAAGTAGCAAACCATAATAAAACAGCCATCTAGTGTTTCCCAGTTTTCAATTTTTTTTCAGCTCATGTAAATCCATGCTAAAATTTAACTTTAACAGTAAATAATATTTACCGAAAATAAAATTATTCAGCATCCATAAGTATACCATAAATTAATTAAATTTTGTCACTGGTTAACATAAGTATTTAAAACAGCTCGCGTTTACTCTATCTGGAACGCCATGGAGGTATTCCTAAAAATTCAGTATTTCATATCTAGTGTTTATAAATTATGTTAATAAACATGATTATTCTGATTGTACACTATTCACGTTAATTAAAGTATATTCCAATACACAAATATTTATTCTTATAATTTTTAAAGTCAATACAGGTGTATCCAGTTAAAGAGATTAATCCATGCAAGGTTAAACAAAGAAAGAATTATCTCTAGGAAGTTATCTATGACAAAATCAAATCTAAATTGGGAAAAAGTAGATGTCTCTAGCATAGTCAATCTATATGAACCTTAAACTTTGTTTTTACTAAGAATGTTCAAGTAAATATTTCCTTAGTGGGTTTATCTACTTTGATCATTGTTTCATTGGCAAATGTCACCACACAGTTAATATTTCAAGGAATCTAACTGTACCTAGCCCCTTCCCTTGTAATCAGATCTTCCTCATCTCCTTCACTTCAAATGAATTACAGTTTTCTTAACTTCTCGTGTTGAGTTGAAGGTGAGATACTAATATCTTATTCAGGATGTTGGTGGATATTGAATGATTGAGAAGTAGTCTGGAGCTTGACCGAAGTTGTGAAAAGCAGATTAGAGCCTGGAAATCTTGTTAAAACTTGTGGTTTCATCAGTGACTTACCTTTCTGATTTAGTTGTGTGAGTTAGTCATCAGTTTGTGTACATCAATCATCTTAGTATTCTATCAGTCAAGTGTTCTATCATAACGTTGGATGATCCCTTTCTAAGCCTCTCTGTTTGTGATAAAACAGCACCATCATGCATGCCAGTTATTACATGCTCATGCCTCGATGCAGTTAACAGTATGACCTCATTCTCGAACCTGAAATTGTTTCTTTTAGTCATGCCATTTTTCAACCGACTTCATTGACATCTTAGAACCTCAAAAAAAAATGTTCGTGTGGAAAAAAGACTACTGAGTCGTTACATTCTTATGTTAGCTAAGACAAATTCCAGTTAAAAAAATGATAGAATAGTGTAAACAAATCATGTTAAGATGTCTAGTGATACCAGGACCAATACGTAATTTATTGTAGTCAAATTTTTGAAAAAACTGATATGCTATTTCTTTTCAAATTTATAAAACTTAATAAAGCTTATATCCCAGAGTGCATAAATATAAAATATTTAATATAAATCATCGCGTCAGCTTTCATGTTATTCAACTTCATATTTAATGTGGTTATAGTTTTCTATTTCCTATAACAGGTTTAGGCCAAAAAATGTTTAGTGTCTACTGCAAAGTATAAACAAGTCGAGTAATGATAACTCATCATTAATATCTTTTGATTGTTCATGATTTTCTCTTCAATTTTAATTTCTAATTATATAGGTAATGTCTGGTTCATCTGAATTCACTTGTGCAACTCATTGTGAACATGTTCGTCCAATGTTCAAACTAGCATGGACACCGTTTCTGGCCGCATTCAGTGTTGGATTACAGGTAATAATGTTTTGAAATTATTAACCATACAGCTTAAAATGGATACTTTACTTTGTTAAAGTGATCCTATATGTATTATCCCCACTGCTGAAGATACTATTTAATGTCATTTGTTTGAATTTTACAGTTGTTATTATTCAAGGCTTAAGTGGTCAATATCTGGCAACTTATTTACTTCTTGAATAAGTATCTCGGTCCTGTTTTGCATTTTAAAGTTGGTTTTATTGTAGGATATTATCATTGTTAATAACATACTTCATCCAATTGTCTATTATCACTAACAATTTTCACACAGTTATTTGAGATGTTAAATATTAAACGCCTCAATTTTCAACCAAATAACTTTATTCCCATATCAGCATAACATTCCTATCAGTATAAGTTACAAGGCGAAACACTTGTGTATTTATCGCCTTATACTGACAATGTCATAATCAAAGGTAGTTTACACTTTAATTCGCCCGTGAAAATTCAGGAAACATTAGAATAACTATTTAGCTCCAGTGCACGTATTTTTTTGGAGTCAAACTAAGCAGTTAAAGAGAAAATTCACTTTACTTTGTCAAACGAAAGTCCCACTAATCTTTGTACGGAAATATTTAATTTCCGAACTTCTTTTTTTCCTCTGTTCATGCAACCAATTTTTTAGCCTAATCAACATCCACGTAAGCCACAACTATTTGACTATAGATTTCTCTGAAGCATTTCTCACTTGCGATGAGACTCAGGTCAATATTATTAAGATGGAACGCAAGATGCTATTTGAAGCTGACAGATGGATTGATGAAGTCATCAATTTTCTCCGTCTGTGAAGATTAAAATATTTTACACAGGCCTAGTTACCAACTACCTAGACTTGCAATACTAGCTGACACAAAAGAGTAGGTTATAAGAAAGCCATAGGTATAATGATCAAGGCATATCATTAGTCCATGAGATCATTAATGACTGGTCTGACCTGTGTTCTTATTTGAAAGCTTCCTGGTTAGAGCCCTGAAAGCAGACATAATTTACAAGTGCAAGTGGAGATTGAAATGGCTTGAAATCAGTCAAATGTTCTCAGATTCATTTGTTTCTTATCTTTTTTTTCAAATCTTGATCTCATTTGTTTCTTTTAAATCACATTTCTAATGTTTAGCTTATCATTTATCTATATCTTTTATTTTGCTAATTTCTTTTCTCAATGTATTGATATAAGGTGTAGTAACTTAGACTTATAATACACATTGATGCCAGGTTTTACATTAGCTATGACTTACTGTCTAATATTTGATTCAGCATAAACCATACAAAATTCAATCTATTTCACTCTTATTTATAATGAATTCCAATGAAATAATCTTTCATTGAGCATAAATCGATATCTTAATATTCTTCGAAGATTTTTTGGCTCATATATATTCTTTTAATGTAACTTCTTTCCATTAGGCGTTGATTAGCCTTTTTATTTGGTAATATATATATAGTAAATTTTTTTAAGTTGCTGTAACTTTTTTAAAGTGACATATTTCTTTTTAGTTCAAATTATCATGTCTTATTATAATGTAATATGAGTTTAGAATTTTTATTATTTCTTAAGTGTATCTGAAAACTCACAATTTCAAAGGTTAAAATGATAGTATTATCAAGCGCTTACTTAATAGTCAAAATACCTTTCAACCAATATGTTACAAGGTTATATTTTACTCTGCCTATTTTTCGTGGCCGATTGGTTTCATCAATTCACACTGAGAAAGAATGTGACCTTGTCGTTTCAGACACAGTCTCAGTCATTTTAGATTTTCTAAGTTTAACCAGTGACCTGTTGTCTTTACTTCGTTTTTATATATATATATATATATATATATATATATATATATATATATAATTCTTTCAAAATATTATTGTTTCGAGCAGGATTCTGACGCACTAGATGTGAATCATCTGTGCTTAGAAGGTATTCGATATGCCATACGTATAGCGTGTATATTTCATATGGAATTAGAACGAGATGCTTATGTACAAGCACTAGCACGATTCACACTGCTATTAACAACATCACATGTAAATCCTACTATTACGAGTGGAAATTCATCAGGTATAAATGGAAATAATCATCAAACTGTTAATACTCGTCGTCCACGATCTGAGAAGATTAATACAAATGCATCATCTACACTTAGCAATGCTTATACAAATGCATCAGGATCAAATACTTCTAATCCAGCTTCATCTACTCCAGAAGCGATGAAACAGAAAAATATTGATACAATACGTACATTGATTACAGTTGCTCAAACGGATGGTAATTATTTAGGACGTGCATGGTTAGAAATTCTACGGTGTATATCTCAACTGGAATCAGCACATTTAATTACTCATGCCATTTCATCGACATATGGATTAAATTCTAACAATCCACATATTGTTAACCGTCCAACACATTCCAGTAAGTTTACATAAATTAACTTTTTTTCATTAAATCGTCTCTGGATATAAATCAATCATACTTCTGAATAGATAGAATAGACATTGAATAGACCTGTTCATTTCAATTTTATTTGAAGTTTGGTGTAATTTTATACTTGTATTACGATAATTATTGTATTTCCAGGTTTACTCATTTCCAATTAATGAGATCTTCATGAATAAAAACGTGTATTAGGTTAGATAGTGACGATGGATATTTTATTTATGGATTGACTGTTGTCGATATTTCTTGGACTAAATTTCCCTGTAATCACGTCATGGATTGCAAGCAAATCCTTTGTGTTCGTTTGTTTCGTCTACCTCTGTATACCATGTATCATCCACTGCATACTTCATAAAACCCCATTGTAGTAAGGAGCCTATGAGCCATATAATATACGTAAATAATTAGCTGATTCTACCATCCTTATTGTTTCGCATTGCATACTGATAACGCGTGTAATAAATCAAATAATTTTTAAATTGATGGTAACTATCTAATGTCCTTTATGTACTCAGTGCTTAATTTTTACATAACTAATTACTCGTCCCGACGATAGTTATTATAGATGATTTTATATCTTGGTTCTTGATTGAGTATCTAATGCAGAACTGTTGTTTTTTGTGTTTACCGGGAAACTTGATTCTTCTAAATAAATATTTTCTATGTTGTTTACAACTCGGGTTCACAGCTACTTTTGAATATCTATGCATATCACCATGGTTTTTTCTCTTTCATTGATTAATATGAATTCCGCTATTTTTTTAAAGCCATGACAACTGGTTCTTATTGTTTACAACAACACGGTTTGTTCACCATACTACCAATTGTATATATCCATTGATTTTTTTGTATACTAAGTTTGAAGTATCTCTTTAATGCTTGTGGTATACTCTTCCCAAAAGTCGTAAAGGATTGATGTCCGTTTGTTGAAAAATAATCTATTTCAAATCATATTTTTACGTTTGCGACCTTCAACCTAAATGGTTAGTTGGTGTGTATTTCCAGTCGACTTGATGCAAAAAAACTTTTATAGTCGTATGTTTTTGTTTGAGATATGTTATCCACCTTATTATCACATTATGTTTTATAGGGAGGTTTCTTGGTCGTTAATACACTCATCTTTCAATCAGTAGGTCATCGTTTTGAGTCCCACTCCACTCTCTAGGATCCTAATTAGCGAATTGTGATGGGCTGATAGATGTCAGTTTTGTTCAGACTTTTTTCATACCTCCGGACCTTTTTCATAATTAATCACTCCTCTCAGTGCTCATAAATAAAGCACGATTTGGGATTTGCTGGAACGACATTCGTTTCACACATTCAAACTATCGAATTCGGTGTTTCAAGATAGTAACATCAACTGAATTAACACCACTGCAGCGATCTCTGCTATAGACTTCTGAAAAAAAATTTCGAATGTACTATTGGATACTCGAAAGAATGAACCCACTAATCCACAAAATAATGCTCTTGGTATTATCATCTACTTTAAAAGTGCAATTATGAACTGAAAAGAAATGAATTCATTCATACTAGATAATAAAATGTAAATGTTTGAAAGACATGTAAACTTTGATATATCACACGATTCTTTATAAATATTTTTTAAAGTACTCCGTTTTACTTGTGCATCAAATAAAAAAGTAGGCTATTCGCAGATGTATATTCATTTAGTAGCTTTCAATACTGTTAGTGGGGAATTTCATAATTAAAACTTTGACAAAAGATAATAAGAAATCACAGTGGTAAAAATGTATTCATTTTGAGGGATCTTCAAGCCTACAATTTAGATGACTGGTTGTGTTTGGAATAATAATAATGATAATAATAATATGCATCGGTTTTGCAAAATTCACTAACAGCTTCACATTTACTTTAAAAATGACATGTAAGAACATAATTTATATGAACCAAACTTATATATTTACTAATAATAATAAGCTATTGTCTTCTTTCTAGCATTGGTCATTTTGATTAGAATCAAGTGATTTTATTTTATTTTTTTGCAACAGTTAACCTAAACAATATTCAATTTAGTTAACATAAACCCTTGTCAAATCTATATAGTTTCATTTCTTTTTAAGGAATCAGTTGATGCAAATGGATTAACCCAATACGATTATTGTAAATCATTAATACTAGTGACTGATTACATCGATTATCTTTCTCAAAGCGGAAACATTTTGAAAGCTTATTTATTAGGACAAAATTATTCCAGATTATATGTATTCGTTTTTTTTAATGAAAGTAATTATTAACTGAATACTTGCTATTTAAACTAATTTTGTCCACTCTAGTTATTTGGTTATTCATAGAATAATGATCCATATAAATTTGATTTAACGTTTAGAAAACTATGGAAAAGGTAGTAGCACTTGAGAGATGTTGCATTCCAATTTGGAATACCTCAATATATTTGGAAGTTTAATGATATGTGTTGCTTGAAAGACACAGTTTTCTTATGGGTGGCTTCTACATTATTTTTTGCTGGTTGTATGATTTTGTGGAAATATCCTTCCAATATCTAGAGTAACCATTAAATAGTTATTTCCCATTTGAATGATTGAATTTTCTAATTCCAACGGATACCAAGCTAAAGTATCTATTTATGGTTTCTTTCACCCTAAATTTTGTCATTGTCTAATGTTACTTGAATGAACAATAAACGTCATCATATTGTCAGGTAGCTTTCTCTTTTTTAGTACGCAGTCAGTCCCACAACAAAATACATATCCTCGGCTGTACAAAACTAAACTCGGTGTCATAAAAACTCATAATAAGTATGCTAACATTCTGACGCAGACTTAGAATCCAACAGTCCATATTTGGAATAATTGAAGTTATTTTTTGGAATTCAGTGCAATTATCATTTAATTTTGTTTGAAAAATACAATTTATACTGTTCTTATATTTCAAGCTATAGAGCATGTGTTTACTAGAATAAGTTTAATAATCTGAACTACTGGATTCTGACGAATAACTGAAAATCATAGTACTATTTGTAAGAATTGATAAACTTGAATACACGGTTGTATATATAATGAAATATATAAACTGATAGTGATTATTAAATATGAATAGAAACAACTTATTTCTCATTAGTTTTTAAAAGTACTCCGAATTCTCTTAATCCACTGTGTTTTTTAATAAAAGATATTTGTTTTTCATGTATTCATTAAGTTATACAATTTAAATATTAATTCCTTTTAGATTCATATAACAATTCTTATAACCAAAATATAAATGAATTATCTATGGTTACTTCATTAACAACAGAAAATGGTTCTATCAAGTCCAATAATTTAGTAGCATCTAGTCCAACAGTTACATCTAATCATTTTGTAAGTTCTAATTTGAATGAACCCGTAGCACCAGGTAGTTTAGCGGCTTCTATTGTCGACTCTAAAAAAGCTGCTGTTTTACAAGAAGTAATGGGAGAGACTGGATCACAGAGTGTGGTAGTTGCTGTTGACAAAATTTTTACAGGATCAATCCGTTTAAATGGTGATGCTATTGTAGAATTTGTAAAAGCTTTATGTCAAGTAAGTTTATAAATAATTTTTTAACTTTTCTAGTATTATAGAAATAGTTTTCATTGAAATTAAAATTAATTTATTTACTCGTGTGCTTAAGAGTAAACCGGATTAAGTATAACGGCTAATAATATTAACATCTGATTGGTCAAACTGAAGTGGGCGAAGTGAGGGGTCCGAACCATGAACTTAGTGTTTGGAAGTTGTATGCCATCACTCCTCCATAAAATATAGTATAACATATGTCTTTTTATGGAAAGTATATTTGTGTTTCGGACTTACGATCGTCTGATTATTTTTATTTTACTGAAGACTTTTCGAATTTCGTGACTTACCAGAACTTCATCGTGAAAAAGCACGGTTCAGTTTTTTGTTCTTTGTAAATAATGAACTTAAAACTAACTAAGGGATTCTCCTTGAATCCCATAATCATACTCTTTATTTAAGTACTTTTCGTGTTTATACTGGTTGGATTGCTTTCATGAGGTAGTATCATGTCATGGAGATCGAATTTAAACCGGTTAGATAAAAAATAACTACTTTCATAATGTCAGTTGTTAAATGTTAATTTAAATTCTACCAGTAAAGTTTTTGGTCTTATTGTAATCTAATGTGATAATCGTAAAATACCTCCTCGACAGTGTGATACATTAGAATACGTTGATCTTAAGTATTGTATAGCTTACGTTGTTGTGCATGCGACAGTTATTAGTGCTACAAGATGAGTTCGCCTCAAACAATACTTATTAGTCTGTTGTTGAGATGTCAATCAGATCTTTATCAAAAGCCTAAACACAAATAACCGACTTCAGTTTGTTAATATTTTCAGACATAATACTATACACTACATGTCATCAAAATATATATATAATATATATATATATATATATATATATATATATATATAGCGTTTATTTCTTATTACTCTATGGTTATAGGTTAGTCAAGAGGAATTGAATCTTCCACAAGCAAGGACATTTTCACTTCAGAAAGTTGTTGAAATTTCATATTATAACATGGGTCGTATTCGATTACAATGGTCACGTATTTGGGAACATATTGGTAGTCATTTCACTACAGCTGGTCGATCAGTTGATGAAGATGTTGCTGAATTTGTTGTGGATTCTTTACGTCAATTATCAGTAAAATTAATAGAAAAAGGTGAATTACCTAATTTTCATTTCCAAAAAGAATTTCTTCGGTAAGCAGTTTATTAATTAAATAGTAGATGTAAATTCTTTTGTCAATAAAGCAGAAATTTAATGGGAATTGTTCATTTTTTGTGATTAGTCTTACACCACAGACAACAAAATCAACTATTCTATCTTTAGTCATTAATAATTTTAAGTATAGATAGTATTGTAGAGTTCGAAACACTAAGACAGTAGAACTGTCTTGATGTTCATATTGAAGACTCGGGCATTGATGTTGGTTGAAAGTTGTTTTGAGTTCCAGACGTTCTTCAATTGTGAGAATGTTTTCGTTGCTTTGCTAGTCCTTTCTTTTACGTCTGCATCAGATCCTCCTTGTTCATCGATGATGCTGTCCAGGTACGTGAGAGTTTCCACCTCTTCCAGAGTTTCTCCACCAAGTGAGATTGTGTTGGTGTTCTCTGTGTTGTAATTGAGGATGTTGGTTTTTCCGTTGTGTATGTTGAGGTTTACTGATGCAGAGGCTGCTGCCACCCTAGTTGTCTTCATGTGCATTTGTTGGTGTGTATGGGATAGAATATTTAGATTGTCAGCGAGGTCGAAATCGTCTAGCTGTATGCAAGCTGTCCATTCTATTCCGTGCTTCCCTTGGGATGTGGATGTCTTCATAATACAGTCGGAAACCAGCGAAAAAGGAATGTGCAAAAATAAGCAGCCTTGTCTGACATCGGAATTCACGTAGAGTACATCTACCAGTTGTCCTCCACGCACGACTTTGCAGTATAGTCCGTCGTATGAATTCCGGATGATATTGACGATTTTCTCAGATACACAGTAGTGTTGAAGAATACACAGGCAATAATATTTAATATCTAAATGATGTTTCTATTAAAAGATAACTTTACAAATGTAAGCAAATTATCACAAGTTGTACTTTTATTTCTGTTTAAAGTCAACTTGTTCTTAAATTAAACAAAGGGATTGTAAAGAAAATAATCTTGCTAACCTTTGTAAAATGTATACAGAGTACAACTACTGAAACGTCCATTCATACTCAAGGTCATGATTATACATATTACTTTAGATAAAGTTAATTGTTAGTTTTAGAATAATAAAAGTTTCTCAATTAAATTATTCAGTCCTGAAAACATAAAATCCAATGACAAAACTATTTTGTTCAACTTGTAAATCCTTTCATTTTCAATCTGCTGTAAATAAAAAAAATACTTTTTACAATAAGTTATCATTAGTTTATTTTATTTTATGAGTTCGGTCAATTTTTATATTACAGTTTTATATATTATTAAAGAAGCGTTTTCTTATTGCGCTTGCAAAGATTGAAATGACTAATACACAATGATCATTTAAATCAACTTATTGGTCAAATAAAACTGAGAGGCGTACTTACTAACTTACGCCTGTTACTCCCAATGAAGCATAGGCTAGTAATTGAAATATATATATATATATATATATATATATATATATATATATATATATATATATATATATATATATGGTGTAAGCTAAGTAATTTAGTATTATTATTATTAATTATGCTACGTTCCATCATACATTACTGAAAGTAGCAAGCTCGTGGTCTGATGGTGAAGTCGTACTGCTGATTGTATAAGGGCAGCAGTAAGGTGTTTCATATAATCAGCATCTACAGTAATTCTGCCTTCCTACAACGGCAGATTGAGGTAAAAACGGTTGACGCTAAAAAAGGTAGCACTCCTCGCCATACTCCACAGATTTCCGTCACTGGCAGTAAGAGTTTTAAAGTACGGAACCAACTTATTTAAAATCAAAACAAACAAATGCAGAGTAATATGAATTTATTTTCGTAGTTTCTCATCAGCTGCTTATAACCATATATATATTGAAAGTCTGCATTGAAGTAAGATATAGTGTGAAACAATTGACATAGATGAATGTAAAGAATTGGAATGACAAAAGTCATCAATAATAACTCTATATATATGTACAGGAACAGGTCGGAGGTCATTTGATTTTGGGATAAAAAGCAAGGGGTTAGTGATGGATTAATAAAGTGAGATTCAGAAACATCAGATAAATTGTGTGATGATTTTAGAGGTTATGAAGGGTTTACATAAGGTTCCTGAGATTGAAAAACTGATAGGATGGGTTACGTAATAATTGAAAAGGATTTGAAGAGTTTACATAAGTTAAGAAAATTAAGTGAATCCAAATGCATGAGTGAAGGGGTGGTTTTAATGTACACAAAATAAGAATTCGGTAAGGGAAGACTACATAACAAAATGAACACTAATAAAATAAAGGTAATAACAATGATTTACCAAGGTAGTATTAGGTTTATTACTGTTTCATTTTGGATGCATAAATCAGGTTTGTTTTTTTAACGCCATTGTTTCAGTGAATTGAAGAGACTCTCTTTCTTTGTCTGCTAATAATTTTGAAAGTTTGAGGAATGTCAATGGTGTGCCCCGTGCTGAGTAAATGCCGAGCTATTACACTGTTAAGATCCAACGCGCCCCTCAGTCTTAAGCTCTTTGGAACATGCTCGGAAATTCGAGCATGTACTCTTCTCTCTGTTCCTCCAATGTATGTTTTGGTTCGTATCTTTTCTGTCTCTCAGCCGCACTTAATGCATAACCCACTATGACTTTTTGGGCTCCGACACCAAATGACCTCTGACCGGTTCCTGCACAAACATATATATATATATATGCAGCGATGCTAACTGCTGTGTTAACTGTGTTATTTGTTGCTGGATGTTGAGTGCGTCGCTCGCGTCTTCTCTACTTGAGGATTGTATCGCGTTAACGCCGCGACTATCGGGATATATTTCTATCATCTTATCGGCCATGTCTGCTAAATCATCAAGACTGACAGAGGCTTCTGATATACTGAGGAATTGTCTGACGTTATGTGGTAACCTTTGTAACCACATCTGCTTAAGTAATGCTTCGTCTAACTTGTATGAGCCTGCTAGCTGTCTCATATGTCTAAGCAACTGTGAAGGTCTTTTGTCCCCTAACTCGCATGCGGTGAGCAGTTGCTGTAAGCGTTTTTCGTCAGACTGCGATGTACGGTGGATTACTGCGGCTTTTATTTTGCCATAGGGGTCCGTTTCTGGTACATTATCAATCAGGTCTCCGAATTCTGTTGCCACTTCTATGGGCAATGCTCCAACGACGTGGGCATATTTTGTCGCTTGCGAGCGTATACCTCTCGCAAAAAATAATGCCTCAACCTGTGCAAACCAGATTCTGAGATTATTAACACCGTACGTTGATAATCTTAGCTCTAAAATAGCGTTGATCGAGCTTAAAGCATTATCTTCTGATTGTGAAGAGTTTAGGGGGTCGGTCGGTGGACTATCTATATCAATGAGTTTACCAGGAGAGTTCATAGTGGGAAAAACAAAAATGGAACAGCGTGCCAAGTAATAATATATATATAAACAGTAAACGTCTATAATATCACGTCGGGCTCACCAAATAATTGTGGTGGACCAGATGATATGTAAACGTAAAAAGTATCAACAAAGTGATTAAAGATCAATAGTAATGTTATTATATATAAGTTAATTGTTACAAATACAATAGAAAATTGGGACTTTACTTAAGTTCACCAAATTGATGCGTGTTTGGATTGGGTCTGGTACTGAAAATCCACAATTATAAATGTTCGGTAACTCCGCTCAGGTTGTTGGACTCTCCAGTAATGTAAACTAGTGTTGAGTATGATATATTCCGACCCACTGTCTATAAATGCAGATAATGTTTGATTTAGAATGCAGTTAGTTCAATTACAAGCGAAAGTAGAACAAAGTATGTGTGTATAGCAATGTATTTGTTAGCAAGCAACAACAACGGAAAGTTGTTCAAGGTCATTCACTAAAACAACAGGTACAGTCATTTAATGATAAATATACATACAGTGAAAGATTGACAAAATAAATACAAATAATATTAAAGACTATTTACGAAATAGACTTGTCAAGTCTATCTTCACAAGCATTCAATATATAGATGGTCGTAAGCAGCCGATCAGTTACCACGAAAATGAATTCATATTTTTCTGCATCCATGTTTGCCCTGGCTTTATTTAAGTCCGTAAAGGGAATCGATTGCATGAGATTATGTAAAAGTATTAAAAGAAAGGTTGTATGTGTGACAATCCTCAAAAGTCGTCCTTTGTGTTCTTCTGTCACGCTCATGGGTCGCTAGAGCGCTCCGAACCCACTTCTTTCCTGGTATCTCAATAAGAAGTATCCTTCCACGATGTTGACAATTAGAATGTGATAATCGCCCTCATACCTCTAACAGGATATAAGATTACCTCGCCTGTCATCGATTATTTAATGTATAAAATAATGCTGATGAAGTAAGAGATTATGAATAATGTACTGAGTATTAAGTAAATTGTTTAATTATTTGGCAACTGTAAAAAATTAAATTGTATAAAACTTTCAATTGTGTATATTTAGATGGGAAGGAAATATGTGCATTAAGTAAACCCATAGGGGTTATCGTCAATCTATCTAATGCTTAGTATATGTTTTGTATCCTGCTTTTTCGACTATTCTTCCGTTCATTTAGTAAGTGATTGTTAAATATCAGAGTATAATTTTTTTTTACTAAGAATTGAATTTCAAGTGTATTCACAACAGTCTGCTATAAACGCCAATAGTGTATTCCAGATCAAAATCCCAAACGAAAAACATTAATATAGTAAGAATCTAGCCTTGAAACGAAATCTCGGGCAAAAATTATACCACCTACTTACTAAATGAACAGAAAAATGGCCGAAAACACTAGATACAACACACCTATTGAATTTTGAAAAAGTTGAAGATAACATCAGCCAAATAAATATCCTATCATCTCGTAAGAGATATGATTATTATCTTATTAATTCTAAAGTTGACCAAGTGAGAGTTCCTTGAAACTTGGTCATTTGTTTTTCTTATCATGCATTTAGACACATAACTGAATAGCATAACAAGTAATTATATTACTCTTCATTTATTTTTTCTCCTTGTTTGAATATAAAACAAAATTAGTTCTCTATTAGCAATCACCTGGTTGGAACATATAATTTTATTTGTATATAAACATTTTAAAACAATCTAAATTGGATTAGAAAACTGACTATCAACTTATCATTTAAACTACTGACCTTAAATCATGTATAAAAAGTTTGTAGTTTAATCTGAGTAGTGTTTTTTGTTTCCAAGACTTCGCTAACAATGACACCGAAGTCACGATCTAATCTTAAATACATCAAGTTTCACTTGTTTTAAACATGTGATCTTTATACAAGTCGATAACTGTGTTATACTTTTTTCTAGGATGTAAGTCACCTTCACACGACCTTGAAATGTTAAAATTGCTGCATTCTGTTTTTCAATTTCTTTGATAAACTGGACATTGTGTATTTGTTTTTTTTTGCATAGTTCATCCTTTATCTAGAAATTGTTTTGCTACAACTTTTATGTCAGCTGACGTATCTCTGTCATGTTCGTCCTTGACAATGATAGATTAAAAATGTATTTAACGCAATGAAAATTCATTTAAACATCATTTAAATTCGTAATTTATTATAAATCATTTCAAGTAAAAAAAATATATAACCGATTGGTTTCCAAACCACGAGTACAACTATAATACGGTGACCATGAGACAGGAGAGCTTTGAATTCGTTTCTTTATTGGGTTGTAGTTGCTTGTTATTTAGTAGGAGCAATTGGCTAGATTGAAACAACAGTTTAGTGCTCTTTCAATTCCCTATGATTTTTCTATTGTTGTCAATTCTTGTTACAAATCATCTTCCTGTTCCGTTTTGATTTTTAAAATTAAAATCCGCTTGTAATATTATGAGCTTAACTTTGGTTATCATAGGGTTAACGGGTTCTTTTGGACATTGCTTAACTCATTTCTAATAATTTTTTTTTCAAGGCCTCAAGCAATAAATATGCTTAGTTATTATTGATAGTTAACAAATATGTATTATCTGTACAATTATTATTAAATATCTTACTTCATTCAATGAAAACAAACTATAATATTACCAGACTATTTTATCATCAATGAAATTCTTGAAAATTGTCTCAAATAAATGTTTCATCGTTATTTATATCTATCATTTGTTCAGTTTATTTATTTATCTATTTCTAATATAAACTTAATGTATATATTTTAGTCCTTTTGTAAATATACTGGAAACTGAACCAAATGTCAGTCATAAAGTTCAAGATATGATTGTTCGTTGTGTTTATCAATTAGTCCATTCACAATATTCGAATATACGTTCTGGATGGACAAATATTTTTGCTGTTCTACACTTAATAGCATCGTCTTTAAATGAAGCAATAGTTGATATGGCATTTGAAACTTGTCATTTTACTGTGAAAACTGTTTTCAAAGAACATTTACGTATTGTCGTTGATGCTTTTCAGGTAAATAGAATTATTTTTCTTCTTTTTTAAATAATGCATGTAAAAATCGCTATAGTAGACTAGAAGTTAATATTCATATTTGTTGTTTATAGATTTCATAATCATGATATTTTAAAATACATGAAAAGATTAATTACACGTGAATGTATAACGCTAATAAATAGTTTAACTGTTTAATTTGTATACTTATCGGAACCATTGAATTATCTATTCATTTGACTGATGCGCAAATGTAGTTAAAGTATCTGTTCACAATTTGTTTCGTTATCTGCTTTTCACTTCTACGTTTTTTGAAAAAAAATCAGAATTTTCACAGTTGAATTTACGAGTCCATCTGAGCTAGACTACCATTGAAAGCCTTAAAGCGCTAGACAACCCTTCCGTCCTAGTATGGGACTCCTCAGCAGTGCACATCCGCGTTCCCGCACTCGGAACTCAAGCTCAGGGCCTCGTGTCTTTAACGAGAACGCTTAACATCTAGACCACTGAGCCGAGATCCGATGGTGTTAACTTTAACTTCAATCAATCTGTGATCTTGCGCAACCTTTCATCCATTACTTGAAGTTAATAACTTTCCATCCTACATGGATTGGACTCCACTAGCTTAGATCGACTCGTCAATCAATAGTGAAAGTACCACAATCTCCACAAATCCCCGTGCTGATAATAAATCAGAAGTGACTGAAATTCAAATGTACGAACAATGAATTGACTAGTAATTCACATAGAGGAATAACTCTCTAATTGTCGAAATATACTGACTGAAGCTGAAAAAATGTACACATTATTGTCAGATAGCTTTTAATACTCAAGAGTTAACTATGTCTTGTGTTTTTTCTCCTATAGAATTTTATTTTAAAAGTAGTCTGTCATTCTGTGCTTGAAGATGGTGAAGTATTTGTAATCACTTTGTCCTTTGTACACAGTTTCAAAATAAGCAAAGTGGTGTTCATCAGGGCTGCCCACTCTCTCCATTCTTGTTCATCTTTATCATTGACGTACTTTTAGAGATAACACTTTCCTCATCTAAATTTCCAGGGGTTGAACTTCTACCAGGAGATTCACTTGTTGACCTGGAATATTCCGACGACATAGTTCTATTTGGTGAAGACGCTGACAAAATGCAGAGTCTGCTGACCACTCTAAGCAACAATGCAAGCATGTTCGGGATGCGATCCTCCCCCTCGAAATGCAAAATGTTGCTTCAGGATTGGGTTGCATCGACGCCCGAACTAGTGATAGGGAGTGAAGTAGTTGAGCGTGTCGACCGCCTCACTCATCTTGTAAGTCTCATCAGCCCTTGTGATCTGGTGTGTGACGAAGTCACTGACAAGTGGACTGAGCCATGTTGGTAGGTGTAGACTATCTGGTTGGGGACCGCGAGATGATAGCAACCGATGGTTAGAGACCCTGAATGACATGGCTCAAAATCGTTTGCAATGGCACAGATGCATACACTCTTTGTGTTCTCCCAAATTCTAATCTCCTGATTCCTCATTGTCTATTTTTCTCTCTTCCCAAATTTATTTCACCGGATTATACTCTTTAAATAACATCTCCAAACCCTAATCTTCCCGATTACTGCTTATACTCTTACTACCTCTACCACTACGGGATTTGAATCGACAACCGCATCTCTGTGCTAATGTGTTGTGGCAACTCGAACTGATGTACGTACGTACGTACGAAGTTCTACGTTGTTACTGACTGACTGTCAGTCATTCAACGTGTTAGTTGAATTGAGTGATTAGAAACGTACAGTTAGTTAGTTGAATGCCCTGGTGCGACCGAGGGTGGGGAGAGTCCGCTCTCCCTCTCGAAATACTCTCACACGGCCACGCGTATACAGCCTCTGCCAGGGAAGTCCTACTCATTGCCTTCTCGTGGCGGGGGTGTTGTTTACGAAAATGAGAGGACGAAAAGCGAATGTCCGGCTCTTTAACCGGATCACAAATCAATGGTGCACATGGGCTCCAGTATCCTGCGGGAACAAATGGCGTATGAACGAATCGTTGGTCACCGGCTACCATGGGATTGCATCTCCTCACGATGCTCCACTGCCTTGTGGGTTAGACCTTTAGGTCAAAGGCTCGGGGAGTGGCCCCCTAAGATAACCACCTGCTTCGGTTTGGGCACCCGGACAGTATCACAGCCCATACACAAATTGATGAACTCTCTATGCCCATGGAAATTACTTTTCTCGCTTCGAAAAACAACCAATTGATTCAAATTATTATCATTACAATTATTGTCATTATTAATACTATTATTATTATTACTATTATTGTTATTATTATTATTATTTTCCACATTATTCACCCTCTTTTATACTTATACAGCGGCTCGTCTTTGGTGGAAATTCGACTGTATCTAAACGTTCTCGAGTCACTGTCCGGTTGAAAATTGTATGTTACCACTGAATATGAGTACTGAAGCAGTTTTTCTGAAACCACGTGCACCATTCAAACTGGCTGCCTTCAACGTTCGCACACTTATGCAGGTTGGACAACAGATAGGGCTGGCTATGTCTTTGGAAAGTCTTAATATCGATGTCTGCTGTCTATCCGAGACCCGTATTCAAGACTCTGGTGAAGTACTACAAATTCGATCTCCATCTGTCACTTCAAAAAGCTTGTTTTACGTGCGCTTATCCGGGGACCCTGTGGCATCTTCGTCTAGTTTTGCTGGCGTTGGTGTCGCACTAAGCGCTAGAGCTGAGGCAGCACTAGTCGATTGGATCCCCATTAACAGTCGGTTATGTGCTGTTAGATTAGAAAGTTCCATCAAAGTGAGAAGAAATCGGCGTGAGAAACGATATCTTTTCGTCATCTCCGCCTATGCCCCGACAGATTGCAGCCCGGATGCAATCAAGGATGAGTTTTGCCACCAGTTATCTGTTCTTCTCCAGAAAGTGCGTTCGACAGATATTGTGGTACTAGCCGGAGACTTGGATGCTCAGGTCGGGCGTCTAGGCACAGAAGAGAGTCGTTTAGGTGGCCGATGCGGACTCGTTGGTCGCAGGTCAGATAACGGGGACCGTCTACTGCAACTTTGCACAGACCACAACCTGTTTCTGGCTAGCAATAACTTTCGGCACAGTCATCGCCGATGTGCCACCTGGCGTCCTCCCTCTGCATCTCAAGCCTGGACTCAGATTGATCACATCGCGATCAGCTACCACTGGCGTGGTTGTGTACAAGACTGCCGCTCCTTTTGGAGTACCTATCTGGACTCTGACCATGCCTTGGTCTGCGCCAATCTTGCCTTACTTTTCAGTGGACAACGAAGTGACCGCCATCAACGGATTGATATTAGCAAGCTGGTTGCAACTTCTGTTGCAAGTACGTATCGAACCGAGCTAGCCTCTAGGCTAGCTACCACTCCACCGAAAAGTATAGATGAGCATTGGTTGCAATTGCATGACGCCATGAAAATGGCGGGTACAGTCAGTTGTGGGTTCGCGAAACGTCCCGCTTATAAGCACTGGGTTTCTTCTGGTTCCTTACAACTCATTGAAGCCCGTCGGTCTACTTCGGGTGACCGTGAGTTTGACCATAAACGAAGAATGTTACGTAAGGAAATTGGGCAAAGCTTGCGTAAGGACCGAGAAGCCTGGTGGTCGAAGCGTGCTAATGAGCTGGAAGCAGCAGCTGCATCTGGTAATTACCGTAAGCTCTTCCAACTCATCTGAGCCACTGGCAGCAAGAAGTCTGATATGAGTGAAACAATCTGCGAGGATGGTGGGATGCCAATCACTAACATCCATCGACGTCTTGGACGATGGGCAGAATTTTTCGAAGGGCAGTTCAACTGGCCTGCTGCTCCGGCAACATCGGTTAGACTGTCCTGCCCTCCATGGCCGGTGACGACTGATCCACCAAATGAGGAGGAAGTCCGCAAGGAACTCCAACTTTTGAAGCGCTACAAATCACCTGGCCCAGATGACTTACCTGCGGCTCTTTTTAAAGATGGTGGTGACTTTTTGACTAAGGAATTGACGACGTTGTTTACAAAGGTTTGGGTGTTAGAGGGTGTACCAACGTCATGGAATGAGTCGATAGTTGTCCCTATCTTTAAAAATGGTTCACGTCGTTCCTGTAACAACTATCGGGGGATAAGTCTACTTCCGAATGCGTCCAAGGTATTGGCTTCCGTCATACTTCGTAGGTTGTTTAAAACCCGAGAAAGATTGACTCGCGAGGAGCAGGCTGGGTTTCGTTCTGGTCGAGGATGTATTGATCATATCTTCACCCTCCGCCAAATGTTAGAACATCGCCATTCTTATCAAAAGCCAACGATCGTAGTGTTTCTTGACATCAGGGCTGCCTTCGATTCGTTGGACAGGACTGTTCTCTGGGATTGTCTGTTAAAGAAGGGTGTGCCTGAGAAGTTTATTAACATCCTAAAAGCCCTATATACAAACACCTCAGGCAGAGTGAGGGCATACAACCACCACTCTCCATTGTTCCATTCGAGCAGTGGGGTTAGACAGGGTTGCCCAATCTCACCATTCCTCTTCAACTTTGCCATCGATGACATTCTGGAAACAGCTCTGATGAATGTAAGTAATGATGGTGTGGATCTGTTGCATGGAGAAAGACTTCTCGACCTTGAGTATGCGGACGATATTGTCTTACTGTGCGATAATGCCCAAGCCATGCAATCCGCACTTAATCAGTTGGCAATCAGTGTCCGTAGGTATGGTATGTGCTTTGCACCTTCGAAGTGCAAAGTACTTCTACAAGACTGGCAGGATTCCAATCCTGTACTCACCCTGGATGGTGAGCAGATAGACGTAGTCGAGAAGTTCGTGTATCTGGGTAGCTGCATAAGTGTTGGTGGGGGTGTGAGTGATGAGATCAATGCACGTATAGTGAAAGCCAGAGCGGCTTATTCCAATCTGGGCCACCTTTGGCGCCTTCGTGATGCTAGTCTGGCTGTAAAAGGTCGGATCTACAACGCGTCGGTGAGAGCAGTTTTGCTCTATGCTTGTGAAACCTGGCCTCTCCGAGTTGAGGACGTTAGACGACTCTCTGTGTTCGACCATCGCTGTCTCCGAAGGATTGCTGACATTCAGTGGCAACACCATGTCAGTAATGCAGAGGTTCGGCATCGTGTGTTCGGGCACAGAGATGATAATTCGATTGGTGTCGCCATCTTGAAACATCGACTTCGGTGGCTTGGACATGTTCTCCGAGTGTCGTCCCAGAGAATTCCACGTCGTGCATTATTTGCCGACGCTGGGACTGGTTGGGAGAAGCAAAGAGGTGGTCAGTGCATGACATGGTGTCGTGGTATGAAAGAAAGCTGCAAAGGACTGGCTTGTGTTGGTCCTTCACGACTCCCTGGCTGGGGTCCGAGAGATGGTGCTACACAGTGGCTAGAGACGTTATCAGATATGGCTCAGAATAGAAGCCAGTGGCAATCCTTCTGTAATCTTCTTTTACTTTCTTCATAAAAAGTGGTTGTGTCTCCCTTACCTGAAAGATTTCTTCTGATTGTACCTTTGCGTTCCCTCATTACTACCACACTACCTTACCCCAATCTCTTCGTTATTGTTCTCTTTTTTTTCTATTTCTCTTCGAATTCTCATTGTTTTGTGTGGCGCATATATATTGGCGCTCTCTTGTACCAATATTTATGTGTTCAAATAAATAAATAAATAAATTCAACTCATTGACTAAATATGTGTTCAGATTATGGTTTTTCAAACAATCGTCTTTTAAAAAAAAAAATAATAAACCGGACTTTGAATTCCTTTTATTTGATCTTTTTTCTGTATGTTTTGTATACAATTTTTAGCCTTTAGTAAAAGCATTAGCTGAATTCGCATGTAATCCTCGATTTCCTGACACAGCTATGGAAAGTATCCGTTTAATTCGTATTTGTGCATGTACAGTAGCTGAAAACGAAACAGTGTTTATTGGTCTACAAAATCCTGAATTTCCTATTGTAAATAATAATAACTCGATGGAATTACCCAATTCTGATTTGAAATATGTATATTTATTACCTGAAGATGATCAAATTTGGTTAAGAGGTTGGATGCCCGTACTATGTGAATTATTTCGTATAATAAATGGGTATGTGATTTATTTATTTGTTTGTAGTTTACTCTGTTTTGTAACAAATTGTTCAACAATCTCTGCAAACTATTTGTCCTAATAATCACTAGGTAATCACTAGTTTTGAAAGCTAGTTTTCAGAGTCCTAGTGATAAGCTATGATTAGTCGAACTTTAAAATGTCGAAAGGGCGACATTCTAAGAAGTATGAATGGTAGAACTGAGTTTTGCATACGAACTGGCAAACCTCAGAACTGTACAACATGTCGTACTCTAGTAGTCTCGAATGAACCAGGACTCAAGCCAAATAAAAAGCAGCGATCTTATTCAAAGGTAATGTATTTGTAATACGAATTAGGCTCAAAATCATGTACAAAGTAACGATCGTTATATATAGACACCTCAGATAGCTACCCAGCATTAGAAATGAATGATGGTTAAGCAGTATCGCTAATCAATTGAAGTTAAAAATATAAACCGTTGGATCCCAACTCAAATCATTTAGAGGTTAGGGACTCGGCAAAAAACCAAAAGGTTTCTTGGCTCGATTCCCAATGAGGTCGTAAATGCGCACTGACGAGGGGCTCTATACTAGGATGAATCAGATGGCCAATGTTTCTCAGTTTTGAATAGAATTGTCTAACTAAGGTTAGTTCATGATACAGACTGTAAAGCCGATCAATTTTTAATGTTAGGTGTATGTGATCAGTTTTTGTTAAAACAATTTTTCTTAGTTTCTTTAACCGAACGTTTAATTCTTTATTTTTCTAACATTTTTGCTGTCGTTTCAAATGGAGTTTCTATTCTAATATTTCAACACAGTATTGTCTTTCTTTGATGAACCTGACGTTATTTTGTACGTTTATTCTACCCGGAAAAAGAATACTCACTTGATTTACTTATGTTTGATGTTGTGCTAATCTTTTCATCCTTCCGGCTTTCTGGCTATTAGGAATAGTCATGGGGCTGCTTTGGTAAATGATGTTATCATGTCTTTTGACCAATGAATGAGTCAAACTCTCAATCCTTACTTTTTACATGCTACTGTATTATGCAGTATGTCATTATCGAAATTTTACGGTTATTTGTATTGCATGATATTTACTGGCTTGTTTATTTCCTCTCTTTTCCTTATAAAAACAAATATATTACTATGTTTTATTTTTCCTTAGTTGTAAATTAGATGTACGCACTCGTGGCCTTACTGTGTTTTTCGATATATTAAAATCACACGGCAATAAATTTAAACCATTGTGGTGGCGTGAAACATTTGCTGTTATCTTTCGAGTTTTTCAACATTTCCGAATCTCTTCACTATCATCAGAATATAACAATACCATGACAAATGTTGATTTGGAAACAGTCGATCATCATATTTCTTCGGTAAAAACACCTCCGTACTCGAATGCATGGAATGAACAAGCTATCACGAATAATCGGGGTATTCATCATCAGACTCTTTCAAATATGGAACGTACTGAATGGATGAATACAACTTGTAATCATACGTTATTTTCTGTTGTGGATATATTCACTCAATTTTATGATGTGTTACATGATATTCTTTTAGGTATGTCAATAATTTTCATTATATTTTCTTGAAAATGCAGCAATTTCTCATATATATATGGTTAATATATTCCAATTGTTAAAATTTTTTATTATTAGCACTATTGATCATACAAGAAAAAGCATTCTCAGAACAGGCTTGCGAGTTTTTCCCCACCGGCGATTTGTAAATATTTAATTTTACAGCACTGAATATCTGTAATTCGCTTTCAATAATAATTTACATTAATATTTCTGAATGATGTTTTATATAGTCTAATCTCCCACTCCACTGACTAACTGATATGCAGATAGAATTATTATGAAAACAATTTATTGCTAACCACTGGATTTTAAGATACAAGGCTAGTAAAGTTATTCGATTCCACAATATATAAGTTGTGATCTAGATAACTCCAGTGCATATGTAATTTAAACTAACTGTTCTAATATATGTAATTTTGTAGTGTCTAGTGCCTTGTCAAGCGCAATTGTGTTGTTCTGGCTTCCGGAAAGACCGGTTTATTCATATTTTTCAAATCTCACTTTGACCTTGTTACCTATTCGCTTATTAACCCTGACTCTTATATGAGCGTATGTGTGTATTGCTTACACAACGGTCAAACCGGAGTCAGATACTTGGACTAAAAAGAGTTATCATATCTGACATACTTTGTAATAAACGGACTAAAGATAAACATACGGATCACTAGGTTGTGATTAAATGGTTTGAAGGTATTGTACACGCTTTACTAGACCTGTTAAATCCTATTCTCAGTCCTACCTAGAAGGTCGTGAGGGTACATATTTGAGACGTTTCAGAATAGAACAAACCACATGTCTTATACTTATTTCTGTTAGTAGTTCGTCAACAGATCTCGTTTTATCATGAAACCATCTTTGAACTATACACATCTTTTCGGGTAACATCTCAATATATAATTGGCACTTAATATCATCGTAACAAATAATTTAGTCTACCATACACAAAAGATATTTAATCATTAGTGCCATTTACTGTGTTAGGGTAAATATTTTTTTTAAAAAAGGTATCTACATCAATACGGGGCAGTAAGATGAAGTTTAACTCATTTACTGTTTTAATTCGATGCACATAGTTTCAGCTAAGGTTTGTAGAGAAAAAAAAATTCAATGTGATCATTTTACAGGAATTATAATTGTTTTATCAGTTAAGTATAGTTTGTAGGAAAATAAATTCTTTTGCTTGCAATGTTTTTAATGTAGTTATCGGGTATGACTTCCCAAGCACATATTAAGGTCCTCACTTTGTATATCGACTTCATGTGCTAATATAATAATCAGGAAACCAATGTGAATTGAGTCAATTATGTGCCTTATTACAGTGAATTTATACTCTCTAATTGACTGCATTTGACGTTTACAATTTTATGATCCTACTGTTGAGTTATTTGTACCTGTACATTCCCCTGATTTTCAGATTTTAGGACAGTTTGTGTGTTGGAAGTGATTGCGAACTGAGGGTGGGAAAACAGGCACTCAGCTTACTGACTGCTAGTATATGATTTCCTTCCTGTTTTTTTATTTCTATTCTGAAATCACCGAATGTAGACAGCTTTTAATTGTGTTGAATAAGCTTTTTGGTCGTGAACCATGTATCCAGTACAATGTAATCCAGTCTTTGTATAACGTAACGACCGAGTATTTAGTTTAGTGGTAGCATAATATTGGACACCGGCCATATTATTGTATCATAGTAACGTAACATAGGAGACAAAATCTGTTTAATCTGCCGTCATTGAAGTATTAAAGACGGGAAATTTCTTTCTGATAAATTATTAAACATCAATTTCATTCACTACTATACAGTGCTAATGTGTTACTTTCAGTGAATTTGAATAAAAACAAAAATCGAAATGCGATATATTAAGCAGAATCCTAATTCTTCTTCTGCTTAATTTTTTTGCAAGTCGACTGAATGCCCCTATATTTGCTGTATTAATCTACGTAAAATGGATTCATCTATATCATTACTATTGGATTTTTACCGTATCATCGATAGTGATCAGATCATTAGTCATGAACATCATGGATTGATGCCGTACTCTGATCTGACCAGTTTGAGTTGTTTCCCAATACATATCTGCTTCACTAGGTCTCCAGAAATGCTAACCTAAAAATGATATCACTTACACTCCGTTTGATGTACTTTCACCGATCATTTCACTTGTGAATAATGAGCTTCAATGATAATATAACATACAAAATGAATGTACCATTCTTTTTAAGCTGAATTCGATTAAATAACAGTTGGTTAATTTAATAGTTAATCGGTATTTTATTTACTGTAGATGATATTTACCAACAACTTCGATGGTGCTGTTTACAAGAATATGAACAGTTAGCTCGTTCTGGAACAAGTTGTTTGGAAACCTTAATTTTATCTAATGGTAAACGATTCAATGATAAAATTTGGGAATCAACAGTAAATTTAATTGTTGATCTCTTCAAATCTACAGTACCCCATCAATTGCTAACATGGCGTCCAGTAAGTGTAAATCAGTCTTCTTAGTAATACTGTAGTGAACAAGAACACGGGTAGGGACAATCAAATGTGTTTAACACAAAATTACAGGACTTGTTAATAAAATCTAACAATCACAAAGTAAATGCTTAATTTGCAAAATGTCCATCGATTATCTCAAAGTGACTCAGACTTCATTGTTCTTGTATTTTCATGCGAATTGCATTCTGTTTCCATTCTTTACTGTTCGATTCTCTTGTCTCTCTGCTGCCAGACATTCTGTTCACGACTAACATCATATACTGCTTATGTCAATATATGTAGCACATACTACAATACGTTTAATCTAATATTATTCAAGATTCTCAAATAAATTTTGAAATCAGATGAGTAGATTGGAAATTGTAATTTTTTCATCATCTTATCATAATTAGATGTCAATTTGATATAATTTATTGAATAGGAAGCACTAGACAACTGTTTTTATTTTCACCAGGTTCCTTATAATAGTTTAATCTGGTACATTCACCTATATTGACAAGAATGCTTTTGGGTTAGATTCAACAGATCAGTGCATTTTTAGTCACAATTATTTCATGAGGAAATTCATTTGCTTTCTAATTTTTTCAGCACTTGTTCTTTCGAACGTGTTCAGCTCCAAGAGGATAGGTTTGATCTCCAACGAACAATTTTGAATTTGAAAAGTTCTTGGATTAGAAAAAAGCTCATGGTACCAGTCTTTTGAGCTCCGATTTCTCAATGCTTAGTTACGTTCTTCAAATATTCCTCACTCGTTTGCATAGTTATGTTTGAGTTAGAGATTCTCATACTAAATTCAACCTACTAGCGAATATTGCTTCTGAGGAAATATTTATAGTCGAAATGTTTTTCTGTGCTTGACAACATCTTAACATACTGTCAAGATGAAACGTTCCTTTGTCTACCACAAATTAATTATGCTGTAAAATACAAAGTGGAATATTATCCATCAAGCGGGCAGTTATTTACATTTAATCATGTTAATTACCTTATTTCACGTGTGATATAATTCAGGAAAATATCAAATAATTTTGCCATCAAATAAGCATTTTTCTAAATCGTGGAAGTAAACTCTTTAAGTTGGTGGCATAGCTTTTTGTAATACCTAGAATGTTTTTCCCAATTTACCTATCAAGTACATTAGTTTTTTTACTTAATTTTTAATCAGAATCTTATTGGATGCGAGTACTGCCCAAACCTAAATAGGTATGACGAGGTTCGAACTCGCGATCTAGCTATTTCAAACTGAATGCTTTAACCATTTTAAAAACCTGCAGTTTTATTACTGTATCAAATATCATTAATGGTATACTATTTGCATACACACTGTTTAGAAACACATCATAAAAGTTATATTTCAGTGTAGTTACGACACAAACTGTGCCACTACATCCAACTTAGTATGTCCAGGAAAATAGCTAGTGTTTAAAGTGCTAAATAAATTTCATGTGTTTGTTTATTTATTTATTTTCATTATTGTAAATAGGAACAAATGCCAATTGAGATCAACGATCAAACTATGGCTACATCATTTGGAAATACGAATCAACAATCTATACCTGGCCATGTTGCCAGAGCACATTTATTCGCTGATCTACTCAATAAATGTGTAGTACAATATGAATTAATACAAACAGTTGATCATATTTTATTCTATTCAGCTCATAGTAGAAATGAAGATATTCACTATTTACATGAAGCACGTCGGTTAGCTGTTGCATCTTATCCAGCATTTGAAGTTGCTTTACAAGCGGCTACATCATCAAACCAACCAACATCATTCAATTCGTCATCTTTTCTTACTAAAGATAGCAGTAGTAATAATAATACAGGAAGTAGAATATCAGTAGATATCATTAATCATGATTACTCGAGTACAAACAAAAATATAACTAATCATAAAGATGATCTACGTAAGTGTATTCTTATTTGTTATCCTCTCGCTTAAAATTTCTCCTTTCTTAGTCATATAAGTTTACTGAATCATCGTATAAAGTATCAGTTTCTTTCACAATTTTGTTTTCCGAAAACAGAATCTGTATTTACATAGTCGATCTTCACTAGATCACCATTGAAAAATAGAAGAACTAGACGGCCAATTCACCCTAGTATGGGACTCCTCAGCAGTGCACATCCACGACCACGCACTTGGGACCGGATCCCAGGACCTTCGGTCTTTCACGAGAACGCTTAACCTCTAGACCGGTGAGCCGAGATCCGATGGTGCTAATGTCTAACTTTAATCAACCCATGATCTTGCGCAACCCTTCATTTATTACCTGAAGTGAATAACTGTTTCCATCCTACATGGATTGGACTCCACTGATCACGGCTTCTCACTAGAACTCCAAGGGTTACATCTTGAAACTAGTCACTAGTGAGCACATGATTATTGTCAGTATGAAGATTTATGCAGATTGTAGTATTTTCACAGTTGAAATCACGATACCGGCTCAGTGGTCTAGAGGCTAAGCGTTCTCGTGAGAAATCCCAAGTTTAGGGGCGTGAATGCGCACTACTAAGGAGTTCCGTACTAGGACGAAACGGCCGTCTAGTGCTTCCAGGTTTCAGTCGTGATCTACTTTAGATCGACTCCTGATTTCAATTGTGAAAATACTAAAATCATATTATTAATCACAGTAAATATGATTAAGATCAGTGTCTGAAAACTGAAAGTCATTTTCGTTCAACCTTTTTCCGGATTAATTAATCATGATAAACTATTATTTAGGGGGTTAGTTTTATAATCGTCGTTAAAATAATGACCACATATTAGAAGAACCTTAGTTAACAATATTCACTACAGTAGAAAATATTTGAAGTACAATAGCTGGGCAAAATAAAGTAGAATTATAATCAATTTGTTAATTAGGCTTATTATGATAACAAAGTGAATTAATCCACCCATCCATTATTATTCTTTGTAAAATGAATTCACTTCTATGAATGCACCATATTCATTTTGTTTTTAAGTTCACTGAATGTAACATCTAGACTGATGCCGAAAACAGTCTAGATCCTGTGACTCCTAAATTTATCATGTAGTTATGCATAGCTTCCTTTGTATTAGACATTTTCATTATCTATGTAGTGCATTGAACAATTTACTTTATAAACTATTCCATGGTTAGATTCATTTCGTTATTAACTAAGTAAGCAAGTTATAAAAAATTATTGTAATAAGTCTTATTATATTGCTTAGTATATAGCTCAGTAGCGAAGTAAATTTGCTAATGAACCATAGTTTTCTCATTTCAAAGAGTATATCGTGCTTCTGTGAGATTATACAGAAATGATTATTTTGATAGTCACATATTGCCTCTGGAGCGCTTGAATAAGACCCGGGCTATGTATTCATTTATTTATTCTAAATAAAATTGTTTTCTTCTCAAACATGTGGCTTAGTGAAGTAGTAAATTGATTGCAAATATTGTCTCTGACTTGATCGGTCTAAATTTTTGAATTGTTCTTTCTGACGTCTAGTTTATTTGTGATTCATTCTTTCTGTCGAACTCAATACCACTTTGCCACTATTTTTTCCATTGTAGACATTTTAGATTCTTCTGAGAACCTTAGTGTACTTGAAAATGAAAAGGCTAGTACTCAATGCTTTTTTGAAACTAATCTAAATAATACGACTCAGTTAGTCGGAGCTAGTCCGTTACCGTTTGATTCCCGAGGTATGTATCCTCATTTGTCACCGCAACAACGTTTTACTTTGGCAAAGTGTCTGCTAGATTCATATGCATTCGCTAAAAAATTTAATTCAGATGATGAACAACGAAATATTCTATTTCAAGCAGGTTAGTTTTTTCTTATGTTTTTTTTTATGATAAGCTGTCATTGATAATAACGTATTTCTAACAAATTTTAAACGTTGTGTACTCACTCATGGATGTATCCAATTTAAATAGTGAAATGCCATTTTTATTGAACAAGGAAACATTTAAGTAAAACCAATGCTTGCAGCATACAACATTATATGTCCTACGTTGTGAAGCTTTTGGAATCAAATAATTAAGTTGACTCCTACACAATATATTTTCTTCACCCTAAGCACTCAATCTACTATTTGGTTTCATTTCAGTAACTACAGTCATGATTAGGATACACACACTGTTTAGTAATGTTACTGCTGAAGCCTGTTATTTTGCTTCAGTTTATGTCACTTGTAAGTTATAAATTATCAGGATGCTATTAACCAAACATTCTGGTTAATTAAAAAGAAATTAAACAGTGTAATTCATTCAATAACTACTATGTTTCTATTATGCATTAGGTTTAACAAATTTTGAACCATTCATTTTAAATTTTGGAATTATTGTGTTTAATCGTTGCATGGGATCCACTTTTTTTCTCTAAAAAATAAGAAAACTTTCACAAAGACAACAGATCCGTCGATGGAAATGTTTTAATAAGACTAAATTTACGCATTTTTCTCTATGCTATCCCGGATTACAGTACTTTGATGTTTAAGTAGGCATCACATTTTTTAACCGGCTTGGTTTGTGATATTTGTTATTGTCCTACACTCACCTAAGCGTTTCATGGCTGTTTCAGTAGCCTTATACAGAATATATGGAGGGCTTGGGAATAAACATATAATCATTAGTCCTGACACATAGAAAAGTCTAATTGCACAATAGTTAAACAATAAAGATTACATCAAATTGTAATAAAGTATCATTAGCTCATTGAACTAATTTTAAAAGGCAGATTCATTGACCAATTTATTGACAATATCTCTTGTAAAATTAAAATTGTTATTGATATGCTAAATATTCATTCGATATACCGTAACCGGGTTACTGATTGATCAATTAATTATTGATCAAAATAAAGCTAATAAAGTTCACAAGGTGAAGAATAGAACTACTCAATCTTTGATTGTTTTAAATCAATATATATATATATGAAAAACGCAGGGTATTAGGGAATGATAGTAAATCAGTTGGCCAAACCAAAACGTGGTATAAGTCTCGGTCCTTGAAGTCACTAACTTCTGGTCTTAGCCATGTTGGTAGATGCAGACTACTTGGTTGGGGTCCGCGCAACTATTGTAACCAATGGTTGGAGACTCTGGGTGACATGACCCAGAATCGATCATAATGCCGTCGGTGTATACACTGTTTGTCTTCCCTTAAACTAAGAGATTAAAATTGCTTTATACCTTTCGTTCTATGAACTAACTCTTTCTTCCTGTTTCATATCCTTATACACAATCTTTTATGTATTACTACGATTGAAGTGACTACTTCTATGAATTTGTTGTTGATCTTGTTATGTTAATGAGGTGTGACAACTTGGACGGATGCACATATGTGCCTAGTCTTATGTTGTAGCTGACTGACTGATATGAAAAACCAATTGAAAATGAATTTCTTCGCTCTAGTCGTTCTCTTTACTAAATGTGAAAATGGGAATTTTTCACTATACCACATGTTTACTTGTGTCGTACCATTTTATCGTTTTCACAACCAGTCTGCTAGCGATCAGTCAGAGGTGGGAGTTCACTACATTTAAAGAAAGACAATACAATTTTATCTTTTACTCATGGTCAATTGTTTTCGTTACTTGATTACGTATTTTGTTCTTGTTTGTTGTCTGGAGAAAATTGGTTCTTTTATTCAATAGTCATTTGGATTATGGTGACGTTACGTAATCACAGTGATAAAACAAATGCAATATAAACCGTTTGTAGCAAAATGTTGATGTACAAATTAGAAGTTTCTCTTTTGTGAGAGTTTCATCTGTACTTCCACTACCTTTTTTGATTTGTAAATGTTGCAGCATAAATTAATTTGTAACTACTTTATGAGCATATTTGTTTATATTCATTTCTGAATGCTTTTATTATTATTATTATTATTATTATTATTATTATTTATATTATTATTATTATTATTATTATTATTATTATTATTATTATTGGTTTTATGAGAGCAGATATCTATAATTTCTTAATTTTTTAATTCCAATTAATTGTTTGTTCTAGGCTTCAAAGTTAAAGCTAAACCGAATTTATTAAAACAAGAAACACATAGTTTATTATGTGCTTTGCGTATACTATTTCGTTTAGCTGAAGAAGCAAGTGATATACGTGAACAAGTGAGTAATAAATGAATTAATTTATTCATTATAAAATTTCCCGTAGAATAATTCAAAATAGGGAATGGTCATGCGAACAATTGCTTTCTATGACTTCATCATCATGCTCTACATGCAAAGATGAACAGTGGTCAGCAGTGTAATCCAGGACGCGCGTCTCGTCCTGTTCAGGACTCGTCAGCTGGATGTGCCTGCAGCTGTTAGGGTTCAGTATCTGAGTGGATAATGCGATGGCGTTTGAAGCGAACGGTACTGGGTTCGAATCCCAGAGTGAACATCAACTCTGAGATGCAAGTACATCCAGCTGACGAGTCCCGAATAAAACGAGACGCGCATCCTGGATTCCACTGCTAGCCACTATCCTTCTTCGGTTATAGTTCTTGTGAATTAAGGCAATTCGCATGTTATGCACCTATGCCAATAAGAAACTGGTCAATTGCAGTCCCAAACATCAGTGGGAAGATTCAGGTAAACAATATCAAGTGAATTCAGACTCTACAGTTATAAGTCCATAATAATTGTGATATTTTAAGAAGACTAAAACAAGCCATGCATTAATGAGTTTGACAACGTTATATGTTAAAAATAGTGAACTTTTTCATCTGTCACGACATTAATACTTCAGGATTATGTTATTTGTAGGTTAGAAAGGTCATATAATGATAAAGGTCAGAATGGTTCGAAGTAGTGTCAAGTTACAATAAAATGCATAGTATGGGAATTTGACCTGACCTTTCTAACTTACAACTAACACAATCATGAAATATTTGTCGTAACAGATGAAAAAGTTCACTATTTTTAACATATATCACAATAATTATTGGCTCTTTAACTGTAGAAATTTTAGAAAACAATTGTCCGCTCAACTATTCCCTGTTTTTGAATTAATTTCTTGTTTGACAGTTTTTTTTAATAGATATTTTCAATTTTCATTGATGATGTTTTGAAATGTAGCATAAATATGGTGTACTCAGAGATATTCTTCTGTCATAACAAACTGACATCAATTTTAGTGATTGAATGTTCCGAGTTGTTAAGTTTTCAATTAGTTAGTCTCGGGTTCTAACCTCTCAATTTGTCTGTCACCTACTTCGACTTACGCAACTGAGTGTTGTCACTTTTCCTCACATTTACAAAATGTGACCCAAAGCTAGGTGTATAAACCTGTACTTGATAAGTGAAGTACGAAACATTTTAATTACGTTATCGGTTCTTCAGTTGAATTTTTAGTTTCATCCTCTACCTTCAATGTATAGTTACAGTTTTTTTCTTTATTCAAACGACTTTATCAAAAAGTACATGTGAAGACCCCATTGTAGATAGTTGAGGTTCACATAGTTATTTTAACGAATGAATCGATCTTGAGTTCTGAAATTATTTGGTATTTTTATTCCATTGAGTCATCCTTTCATCTCGATTCATTTTGTCTACACCTATTCTTTTCTACTAATATCATTGATACATTTACTCTTTCATCAACTCTTGTGTCACAACATGAAAATCAAACTAATTTCTTATGTATAACTAGTAATTTACTCTATATTTATACTAAGTAAATATTTTTTGTCACTTTAGAGTTATGAATATTGTTAAATCTCATTGGAATCACTTAATTGATCTAAGTTAAATAACCATCGAAAACCTGAAAACACTAGACAGTCATTTTATTCTAATATGAGACTCCTTAGTAATACTTTATATTTGCTTTACACTAAAATAATGAATAAACCGTTTAATTTCTTTCTTCCTTTTACACCTCTTTTTTATGAATAGGCTGATGAATTATTGGACCATGTAATATTGGATGCTTTTCATTATTATCATGGTTTAGTTATTGATGGACATCGACATGCATGGGATCCTTGTTTAGTATTAATTATTACACAATTAATTCAGTTATCACTTCATCAAGATTTCATAAACATGCTACTTGTCTATATCCTGGTCTGTGTGATTTAGTTGCAATGGCTGGTGGTATTTCACCCCAAGTTGCTGCTTTAATGCGTGTTTTTCTGTTACGTTGTGGAACCTTCTTCATACCTATGACCAGTGGTGGTGGTGGTAGTAGTAGCAATAGTTCTACGAAAACGGAAAATTCTTCATAAACAGTATAAATTTACATATGTATCTTTACGTTTTGATTAATTACCAGATAATTCATTTGAAGTATACTGGAGTGCCAAAGAAAGAAATATCTATATGGGTAGTGGGATATATATATATATGTCGGATTCAATAATTTTATTTATTCTATCCATTTCTCTCATATACTTATCTTTCACAATTTTCCTATTATTTTTCATTGTTTTCCACTATTAAAATCTTATTATAGAAAAGCTTAAGAATGTATCATCATAATCATTATTTTCTTTACTTGTTTGTGCGCGTATATGTGTTGTTCTTTCTTCTTTTTCAAATGAAGATTTACATTCCATAAAATTTGTGATAAACGTCGATTAGTATTCCTTGTCTTCGTCTTCTCCTTTTTTTTTAAAAAAAAGACAACTAATTATTTTATTTATTCGAAATTATCCATGAATTCCACTAGCCTTAACACGTATCATTAATTCTATTTTATTTGTCATTGTTGTCGGAAAAAGAAAATAAGGAAAAACACAATTATTATGGTCTACATTAATATGAATTTATTCAATAATCCAGTGCCTTTTGATAAAATTAAAGTTTTGTAACTGAACGATTGACATTGATGATGATTTGGTGTTATTGTTTTGTGATGCTTATCGTTCAAATTAAAACAAATCACTTATTATGTTGTGTTTTATTTTTTGTTTGTTTGTTTATTTATTAAGAAAAAACAAAAGATAAACAATTAGTGAATAATTGTTTCACTGTTTTGTTGATATTTAATGGCATAACATATTGTCTAAATAAACAAATGAAAATACTTTACCCTATTATTATACATCTTTTATTCTTTTCATTGCATATCATTATGTGTTGTTCATTGTTATTTTCTCCATTATGATCATAATTATCATCACTGTATGTAAGTAAATGAAGAACAATGATAAATATTCTATTACATAACTACTGTAGTTGTTCACGTGTTAAAGTTTCTCTTGTAATTTAATTAATTTGTTTCCCTTGTCAATGGCTGTGCGATTTCACTAAGAACTATTCATCTTTACACTGATTTTTGTCTTTGTTTTGCGTGCATTCCCCTCATTTATTCACTAACTGGGTTTTGTCTCTCTCATCATGTTGTGTTTTCTTTTCTATTATGTGAATATTGTATTATATTCTTTTCGGATAACAATTTCTAATCTAGATTTAGACAACATAGAGCATTCTTTTCTGGTTCCCTATCCATCACTAGTACAATTATATAATTGTCATCAGTTCCTTGTATTCATGACAGTGATTGGTGGTTAGCTGATTACTTAACTATTGTTATTGTTATCGTTTGTATTGTCACCAATTTTCTCGTATTATTTTCAAATTTACTGAAACATATAACCCTCTTTATTTGTTTATTTATTTTCTCTCAAATGTTTCTTTGTTTATTCTCCGGAGATTTGCTGTGTGAATAATTTTGTTCTGTTTGTTTATTCATTGTAGGCTATTCATTATTTTATCGTTTTAGAGCAATAAAAAGTTACCTATTATTATTGTTATTATGATTATTACTATTGTTCTTACCATAGTGATGACTGTTCTTTTGAATATTATCTTTTTAAAATAATAACAATAATCGTCCAGTGTAAACAAAAAGGTCATTTATAAAATTAAATAATTTTTCTTATTATTATTTGTTATTTTTGTACTGTGTAGGTAACATATAACTCATATCTCCTAAAAGACAACATCTAGTTTGAATTGCATATTTATCAATAGACAATATGACTGATCTAAGAACTTTTGCAAAAGTAGTATGTGATCGGTACTTAACCCGTAGTTATCATTAATACCTTTTTCTCAGCTGAACAGTTCAATTAGAGCATTGATGAGAATTGATCTTAACTACTGTAGGACATAATACGGTCAGCCAGTTATTGCCAAAAAGACAATCGAAAGGTATATATGGAGAAGTGCTGGAATTCAAGATTGAGGGTAAGATGAGCGGTGGATACATCTGCACCATTGTGAAAGATTCTGAGTAATTTTGTACAATCTCTAACCATTGATCACGTTTCTTGCGTGAAACCGAACCACGTAATCTGGATCTACCAGATGGACAATCAATGACCTCATGGAATGATGTTCTAACGTGGGCGCCTGCAGCTTTCTTTCGGCCCGTCAAGGTATGTAGTGGTTAGGGATATCTAACATCTTCCAGACGCTCCAGTCGACAAAGATTCATTACCTCATTTACCGGTTTCCGATCTTTGCTTGGCACTTTATAATTTAACCTGAACAATGTTAACTCGGTTGTTCCACAAAATGTAAGCATTGATTGCAGCCATAAAATAATACATAATGGACTGCTGTACAATATACATGCTTTTGATTGACAAAGACACCTCATTTACGCCACAATTGACATCAGTTTTCTAAACCCTACCAAGCACTCAGAATCCTTGGCAAAATTTCGTTAGACACCAAACCTTCAGGGTTGGTAATACTCCTAAAGTAAATGAAGCTTTCAATAGCTTCAAGTACCTCACTGCCTTGAAGCAAATTATCCAAGTATGGAAGATTAGAAACAGAGACGATAGTTGTAAAAGCATAAGAAATATTGAAACCCGTAATCTAGAGGGAAATGTTTATGTTCTAACATGACCGATTTTGAGTCGTGTCTCGTAAGATCTGTTCAATTTATTATCGCGATTGTCACTCGGATCCCAACCAATTAGTCTGAACTCACCTAGGCAGCTCAGACGGATAATGGACGAGTTCTTAGATGGATTTTACTTGGTGTAAGGTGGTTTGAAGTGATCATTATGGAATCCTGAACTTATGTTTCGTGCCAGTCGACTCGCATCAGCAAGACGTAACTTCAGTCTTTAAGAAAATTGTGCTTTTTATGAGGTTCAAACCTGTATACCTCACCTCTACACTCTAAGAAAGTGCCAGCGAGGTATTCGAGACGACCAATTTGCTTCGAAACGTATTGTTTACAATACTCAGCCCCTTAGTCTGGTGCGCACAGCATAATTTGATTGATAGAATACAATCAGCGCTAGTTACAAGACGAATATGAAATTAGTCACTATTTAGTAATCAGTCAAGTTTCCACACTACCGAGAATTTCATTTTGTAACATTGAATCTCAAACAGGAAATTTTATTAGATTGTATTATCCTTTATTTTGTTGGCCAATTTCAGGATTTCTCGACCTAATCCCCGACTAACATAGTATATCGGTTTGTTCATGATTAAACGTTTTACTTATAAGACATTCATACACTAAACAGTTTACTTGCACTAAATTTTGTATTTAACTTTAACAGTATTCACAATATTTCCACTGCAAGGTTTTGGTACTTAAAAAATACCAACTACACGAACAATATATAAATATTTTCCGCTTGTCATGATCACTTCACGGTTTAATAGCAAAATATAATGAACTCCCAAGGCGAATATTATCAACTTTGACAGCCACTTGGATATCTCTTCTGTCATGTGGATTGGTGAGCTCGAAAAAAATCTATCAAATCCTCTTGAAATATCAACTATAATGAAACAGTTTACTCCTTATTTCGTCAAGAATTTAACCATAGCATTTTCGAACAAGAATTTTATTTAATAAAGTTACATAAATCCAAATATATCTGTATTATAAATGAATTAACGAATTCAAAGAAAAGTTAATAGAATAACTCAACTGACTACAAATAAAGAATGTTGTATAAAATGTCATGTTGAACTTTTAATGCTTATCGGTGGTTAATTTTAAGCAATCCACATTCACATACAGAAGTTATGTTTACAGTTCAATGTGTAAATTGATGTTTAATTACGACGTTGTGATGTAAATCTACTTTGTTGACGTATATGATAGAATATAAGGATAGATATGATTATAATTAAAACAATGATAATTGGTAATAATGTACTAAGTGTTGCAATGAATGCATATTGAATATTTTGTGATTTCTGATTATTATGAATAATATTATTATTATCAATATTAAATTCATTAGGCTCCTCCCAACGACCATTAATTTTTCTAATTATATTACCATTTTTATCATGTATTTCATTTGAACTTGATTCAATGAAATTGTTTGAATCCCTTAGTTTAAATAAATGTGAATCAAATGAAAGCTATTTTCAAAATAAAGAAATAAAGAATAGTTGTATGGTAAATATATGTCTATAGAAGGATAAGAAAAAAGTGCATCATAAAGTGATTTGAGACTTCAATTATCAAGTGAGTTTACGTAATAATCAGTGGGTTAGGGAAGGATCGAAGGATGAAAATAAATTACGGATCATATCTGTTAAGCGGACAATTATCTTTCATAATTCTGACCTGTAAATTTTTAGAAAGAAAACATTTATCAAATTCTGAAGTAGATACCTGTCTCTACCCGACATGGACTGAGCTCCACTGGTCACGGTTTTTCACAAGAACTCCAGGAATTCATCTTGAAGCCAGTCATTAATGAGTACATAATGATTATGATCAGAATGGGGATCTGTGGAGACTGTAATAATTTTAATAGCTGAATTATTGAGTCGATGTAAGCTAGACCACCATTGAAAATCTGGAAGAGCTGGACAGCATTTTCGTCCTAGTATGAGACTCCTCAGTAGTGAACATCCACGATCCCACATGCGGGACTCAAATCCAGGAACTTTGGTGTCGCGCACGAATGTTTAACCTCTAGACCGCTATTAAAGTGACTACATACATCCAACTAAATCGTACCATGAAAATAACTATTTTAAATGATACTTCCAGATTACTGGAGAATAAAAAGTTGAATAAAAAAGAAGTAAATAGTTTAAAAATTAATCTTATTAAATTGTAATGAGAGCAGAGTAAATTTTAATAGAGTGATACACATTGTTTATTTACGTTACCAAGATAGTTGAGTATTAATCATCTACATTTCCCAAATACAAAATTTAAATTAATCCACCTAGTTACTGTTGTTTTCAACCAATCTAAATAGGATGAGATTATTCTATTTATTGATTATTTCAACTAATATTTTAAAAGAATCTACAGCTCATAGGATTATGCAGTAATGATAATTCGATTGTACACAATTTAGTTAGTTTGAAGTAAATGTATTCTATAAAATTTGTAGATAATTACCAAAATACCTCTGTGAGATGTACTTGAAAATTATAAATGAGTGGTTTACTTTGGTTGGTTGAACAATATTTTGTTATGTATTTAACTTACAGCATTCACTTCATATTAATTATATATTGTAGTGTCAGTTACTATGTTAAGTTCATATACCTTATTCTAGCTTTCTAACAGGCCAATCTATTCCTTCTTCTTGATTCACATTTTGACCTTGTAACTTATTCGCTTGTCAACCTTGACTACTTTTATGTAAGCGTATGTTTCGATAATGTAATAAGAAGACGAAGATTATCAGAATTATGTGATATATTAGTGCAATACATTTCGAACAATCTGATCACAAATATACTTGTTAAGAGCATTTATATATATATACATCACCTTACCATTCAGAGGTGATTCAAATAGCCTTTTATTGAAACAAAGACTTAAATCAGTTATCAACAAAACGTATTGCGCAGCAAAGGTCATTATCAAAGAAAGAACAAGGTGCATGCTTCATCCCAAACCTAAAAGACATGAAAACGATTGTGTCACATCCCACTGTGTTTACCAATTTAAATGTGTGTATGTGGTCACACATACATAGGGAGGAGCAATCGTGATCTAAAAATTAGGGTGTGTGAACATGTACCAAAATGGTTGTAGAAACAAATACAATCAAGTGACCCAATAAGAGTAGAGGATAAACATCCATCATCCTCTGTTGCTAAACATATAAGTGAAAAGGGCCATAAGATTGATCTAAACTCGGCTTTTTTGGTTTTGTATAAATGTGTAAAAGGGCGTATACGAAAATTCAAACCCCCTCTGTGTTCAAAAGCAGTTTGTTCTTACCTTAAACCTACTCTGGTAATATTGACTTATTATCCAGAGTGATTAGGTTTCGAATTGTGTTCACATTATTATTACTCTTATTATTATACTTATCTCCTCTTACCCCATTTCCAGTCTAGTTGACCTTTTATTTTTATATATAAATGCTCTTAACAATTATATGTGTGATCAGATTGCCCGAAATGTATTGCGCTAATATATCACATAATTCTGATAATCTTCGTCTTTTTATTACATTATCGAAATTTATCAAAGGGACTAATTGCTTTAAGTAAGCGTATGTGTTTACGCTTCTTATCCTATTCATCACATGTCTGTAACTTATTTTTGTGTGGCTATAAATATCAATTAACGCTTGACTAAATGGGGTTGGTTTACACGCCTCCTCCACTGCGAGTCACTTCGTATCGCTCTCTTCTCTCCACTTCTCCGATCTTTCGTCTGGAGCAACGATTGTCTGGAGTATACGTATTCGGAATTTATTTCCGTATTCGATTTATTTAATTCCGTTTTTCACCAATAAGATTTAAGTCAATGAAATATACGAGGACAGCCGACATGTGTATTTCGACAACAATCAATCATATGATTCAGTTGAAGTCAGATATGGGGCCATTAAAATATTTCATTGTATTTACTAAAAAAAATGCATATTATCTGCAATTCAAGCTACAAGAATACATTGGAATTCAGTGGATTTATTACTTTTTTTGTAATATGCTTCAGTTTTAACAGTGATAATGAATGTATGATTTGAGTCAGTGCCCAATCTGTTTTAACAAAACAAGGCCAATGGTGGAAT